AGGCACTCGCTGTTCTCTTGCTAGGAGGCACGGGCAGGCCTGTGCAGTGAGTGTCGGCAGAAAATACCATTTTACCACTTTATTGCCTTCTGTTTCCCAGCTGTGGCTGAGCAGAGGGCAGAAAAAACAAATCCCAGTGCTTTTGGAGGCCAGGCTTTAAGTGCTTAGAGAGAGTCATGCCAAGGGTGAAGGAACAGCTCAGGGACAGGGAACCTCAAGGACTGCCTGGGAGTGATTCCTGGAGATCCTGGCTGAGATAAAGGGACAAGCTTTCGGGATAAATGAGAGCTTTGAAGAACACACCCCAGAGCGATAGCACCCCGCTACAGCAAGGAGAGCCAAGAGATAGAAAACACAGTGATCATCCCATCTCCAGCCCCTGAGCTACCAGCATATAGAGTGAAAGAAGACCAAAACCAAGCCGTGCTGGGGGAGCACGTGGTGCCCAGGAGAAAGTCAGCACATGCTCAGGGCAAGGAACAATAAAAGCTCTTATTTCTCAGGCTGCCTTTTCTGTCCATGCCACTCTTTCTGTTGCAACTGGCACCGGCTTTGGTGCGTGGGTATCAAGCAGATTGTCATCTAGGGAGGTGCTGGAGATTGGGATCATTCTTTTTTACTCATTGTCAATAGGATTGTTGCTGATTCCCATGATGTAAGATATCTTAAACCATCTGCAGTGAGGACAAGCTAAAGGTTAGACTCTTGCACAGCTCCCAGGAGGAAAAGAAAAGGCAGGAGACAACAGAAGCCCTGCAGCACTGAATATTTAAGACTTGAAGTTACAAGCCTTGGGGGGATCGTTAGCTTTGGCCCTGCACTGTTTTTATCTTGCCCGTAGCCCCACGCCCCCGGACCTGCACACTTTGGGCTCTTTTCATGTGTGCTGTAATTAGAGAGGTTTCTCTGAAGATGCCCCCACACAGTTTTCCCCTAGTTTCTGATCTGAGGAGGCTGAGGACCCCAGCTCTGCTCCAGGTGGGTGCAGCAGGCTGGGAACACACTTGGGGTCTGGTGCCACATTCACCTACTCACTCACAGGCACCAAAAACGATGGCACGCTTGAAGAAACTATGATTTAAAGAAGAAGGCAGGCTTCCAGTCAGTTTGAGTTGAAACCTGTAGTCGGCGGGGCTAGCATGGGTGCTGTAGCTGGCTGAGGCGTGGATCTTTTCCCGTACCCAGGGGCTGTGGTAAGCTGACATCACGCAGGCAGGTGAGGCTATTCTACAAACAGAAACTTGGAGTTTTGTCAGTTTGGAGGTACTGTCTGCAGGCACCCCCCCGGCTATGTTGACAAAAGCAGATTTCTATCAACAAAGCTTTGGAGTACAGACGAGGTATGAAACTCATAACCTCCTGGCACTCAGCTTCATGCACTTTCCCTTAAGCCAAAGGGCATTTTGATGTGCACAAGCTTTCCTGTGTCCTGACTGAGGCCCGAGCTGTGTGTTTTCTAAACAAACACCATGCAGGAGTTGGTGAAGTACAGCAGAAATGTCCAAAAAATAATAAATCTATGGGCAGGCTTTGAGCAGAAGTTTTTTTTTCTCTGATCATCCTGAGACTATGTAGCTTTTCCCTGAGCTCCAAAGGCCTTCTTTAAAGCATTTTTGTTGGTTCTGCGAACAGGAAGATGATGAAGCCGCCAAGATGGGGCAGTAAATAATCTCACCCTCTCCCTACTGCTTCTCCAATGCTTGTCAGTCACTCTAGGTCCAACGCTGTTTACCCTATGCCTTGCTGTACATAAAGACAGACTTGATTCGTGGGCTAGCAGCTGCAGCCTTGCTGTGAAAGCAAGCAGGTACCTAACAAGATGTTTCCGCTTTTTCACTCCTTTCTTAGGAGAGAAGGATGACAAAGTGTCCCAGCACATACCGTTCCCAGAATCTATTTTATTTAAATAGCCTGGAGACAAAGGTCAAAGAACAAATGTAATAGAGTTGTTAACGAACCTATAAAAATCTCTACTTTGAAAAAAAAAATTGGAGTCTGCTCTCTATGACTTTTCCCGTGAAGTCATTGCAAGCCTCGGCTCAAGTTGCAGGTTTGCAGTTGCGGCCTGTGAACCTGGGTGTGCACTCCAATCAACAGGAGTGACTCTCCCCTCCCCACCAGCCCCGTCTTCCTGCTGTCTTCCCCTGGAACCTAATAAAACCAAATCATCAGCTTCCAGCTAATCAAGGAGTACTTCCTTGATCTGGTGATCACATGGTCTTTTGTAACGTATATAGCATAACTTCAGCAGTGATAAATTCAATGATGTAATAGCAGATGCTTTCAACATCAGGTGAAGTTTCCTGAAAAAGCTTTAAGCAGCTAACGATGCAAAAAACCTGCCACCCCTCCACGTAAGACCAGTTTTAACTTCACGTTTTATGCAGGCTTTATAAAAGATCAACTTAAACGTAACCTGGAACAAAGGAGCTTTTGCATTTTTTCTGATGCTTCTGGGACGTACTGTTCTAACACATCTTCTTTGGACTTTGGTCAACAGTCTTGCCAATGATTTTCATACAGATGGGATTTTCAAAACCAAGCTGGGTTGCCAATGCCCAGTTTCTACAAAGCCTAAAGGAATCTGCTACCAAAAGCCTGTCACAAGCTTTCACCAAGAAGGATTTTTGTCTGTGCCGGCTCCACCCCTTTTAGACTTTCTCCTTCTGGATGCTCCCAAGAAAGATGGCAGCAACAAGCCTGTCGCCAAAGCACTAGCACCTGGCCTAGAAACAACCTTAAAAATAATACATGGTGTAAAATCCAGAAGATTAATGATGTTCCTCTCAGTGGCACCGTTTGATTGTTACCAGCTCACTTTCAGCTGTTCTGTTGTCCTATTATTCTGTGATTAGGAGTTATGCAACGATAGAGGGATAATTTGTTTTTATGGGTAAGATTTTAAGTAGCAGGGTGCGTGGGTTATTTTTTTTTATTAACATTGTGGAAAAGCAGATCCTGCCACCCCATAAACAACAACAACAACAAAAAAAAAGAGTTGAAAACCACTCAGGCTGGAAAGGAGCTGCACATCTGCACCACCCACGAGGCCAAAAAGCAGAGATAAAAGACCATACTTAGTGGGAAAGGGCGTTTAAACTTGGCCAGGTAAACAAAGGGAGGGGACTTTATTTCTTTGCCCCCCTGCTTTGAGAAAGGGGAATCCCTCTCATCAGCAAGGGGTGAGGACAGCCTGTAAGAAAAAAACCTCAGCTGGATCTCAGACCAACCTGAGAGATGGACTAGGTACCCGTCAAGGTGGGAGATGCAGGATTGCCACTGCCTGAGGAAGCTCAGGACTTTGAGTAAGGACTGTGAGAAAGGCAAGATGCTTGTAGAACTGGAGAGAGGATGCTCCCACTCCCCTTATTATAGAGTTTTTGTTTAAAAAAACCCCTAAAGCTCTGCAACTAAGCACCGATCAACCAGCGAGGTGCCCTCCCAACACTACATACATCAAAGTATAGGAAGAAGAGATCTAATTGAATTTCACTGGCAGCACTTTGAAGTGGTATTTGTTTTTCTTGTACATACCTGCCTTTTCATCAGCTGTTCCATGTCATGTTTTCTTTCTTCTTCAGAAAGGAGAAATGGGAGGGATGTACGGATTGGAATCAGCAGCTGGCATATTCGCTTGTGGATACTAACCCAGTCAGCCTTTTGATGATCTACATCGCTAACAAAATAAGGGGAGAATGATATTTTTGTTTGCTTGTAAATGATGTAAGGAAAGATTATTGCCTGTTGTGTCTTCTGGACTTTTACCACAGGAATGACGCACAAGAGCCACCAGCCCTTAGTCTGCTCACAGAGCACCTAATATATACTTGATATTCCCGAACGGGAACATAGCGCTGTCCAGCCAAGCCACCGTGATTCTGTATGTTAAAACCTTATTTAAATCACTCACAAAGCTCCCGACACAGTCTGGATTGAGCAAATGCCTGTCATTCAGCACTGCAGTACAGAAAAAAACCCCAAAGCCAAACAAATCCCGAGTCATTGTGAAACCAGTAAAATGTATGGTTAAGCTATGACTTCACTGAGGCCCCTGTGTAAGTGAAGATGTTTGGGTAAACATCCAGAAGGCTCCCTGCATGGCTCTCTATTTGATGTGGGCACCGTTGGAAGCGAGGAGGATCATTCCGGCTGAGTGGCTGCCGAGCGTGCCCGCTCCAGTTCCGCTATGCTGCCTGCTGAGCTCTGTCCTGGGCCTTCTCCCTGTCTCCCTATCTCCATCCCAGGTCTCGTTCCTGCCTCCTCAGCCTCATCCCTGCCTGCTGAACATCATCCCGGGCCTCATCCCTGCCACCTGGGGTTCAGCCTAGGCTTCACCTTTGTGTCCCAAGCCTTGTCCTGGGGCTTGTCCCTGTGTCCTGAGCCTCATCCCGGGACTAGTCCCTGCGTCTTGCCCAGTCCCAAGCCTGTTCCTGCCTCCTGGGCCTCCTCCCTGCCCCTAGTCCCAGGCCACGTCTCAGGTTTTGTCCCTGTTGCCCACCTTTTACCCGGGGCTTGCCCCTGTGTCTCATTCTAAGCCTTCTCCCTGTGCCCTGAGCCCCGTCCTGGGCCTGTTCTTGCCTCTTGCGCCCCATCCTGGGCCTTCTCCCTGTGCCCTGACCCTTCCTCCCTGCCTCCTGTCCTGTCCCAGCCTTGCTCCCGCCTCCCGGGCCTAATCTCAGCCTCTCGCCCGCCCCCCCCCCGCCTCCTGGGCCTACCCCCGAGGCCTCCTCCCGGCGCCCGGCCTCCCCGTCCCAACCTCCCGGGCTTTCCCCGCCAGCCGACGGCCCAGGCCCGTCCCGGAGCCAGCCGGCGGGGCTCTCACCAGTAGTATGCGCGGCGGCAGCGGCGGCAGCGGCGGCGGGCCGCGGCCCCGCACAGCTCGCAGCGGCGGGACGGCTCCAGCGCGTCCCGGCGTTACCACGGCGACGCTTCCGGGTCGGGGCGTGGGGGGGGAGAAGGGGGCGTGTCTTCCGGCGGAAGGGGCGTGGCCGGGAGGGGCCATGGCGGCGGGCGGCGCGGACGAGGCGGCGGCGGAGGCGCGCGTGCGGGCCTGGGCGGCGGGGCAGGCGGCGCGCGGGCGGCGCGTGGCGCTGGTGACGTCGGGCGGGACGCAGGTGCCGCTGGAGGCGCGCGCCGTCCGCTTCCTGGAGAACTTCAGCAGCGGGCGGCGCGGCGCCGCCTCGGCCGAGCGGCTGGTGGGCGCCGGCTACGGCGTCTGCTTCCTGCACCGCGCCCGCTCCGCCTTCCCCTGGGCCAGGGCCCTCCCGCCGCCCGGGCCCGCCCTCCTCGACGCCCTCCGCCTCACCCCCGGGCCGCCCCCCGGCGTGGCCGCCGACCCCGCCGCCCTCCCCGCCTTGCTGCCCGCCCTCCGCGACTACCGCCGCGCCACCGAGGCGGGAGCGCTGCTGGCCATCGAGTTCACCGGGCTGGCGGAGTACCTGGCGCTGCTGCGAGCCGCCGCCCGCGCCCTGGCGCCTTTCGGTACGGAGCGGGGGGGGGGGGGGGGCGCCGGGCGCCGCGCTGAGGGGACGGGGGGGGGGGGGGGGGGGCGCCGGGCGCCGCGCTGAGGGGACGGGGGGGGTGGGGGGGGCGCCGGGCGCCGCGCTGAGGGGACAGGGGGGCCGGCGTGGGGGTCAGGAGCATCCCCGGGAGCCGTCGGGGCTCGGTGTGAGGGCATGAGGCGGTGGCAGCATCTCTTGAGTGGGGGCAGCGCTGCCCCGCTCAGAACGGTGCCGGTGGGTGATGGGGGGCGTCTCTGAGGGGGGGCTCAGCGCTCCCCTAGTCGGTGTGTGGGGGGGGCAGCCCGGGGCGGGAGGGCCGTGCCGGCTCCGAATGGGCCAGAGATCCGTGGGTGACTGCGGTTGTTGTTTCTCGCAGGCTCCAGCGTCATGTTTTACCTGGCAGCCGCCGTGTCGGATTTCTACATCCCCACCTCGGAGATGCCCGAGCACAAGATCCAGTCCTCGGAGGGGCCCCTGCAGGTGAGGCACCCCCGGGCATGGCCCCCCCCTCTTCTGTCCTGCCGGGGTTGCGGCTGCCTGGGGCCTGGCTGCGAATAAAACCTGGGAAAGGTTACAAAGCAATGGCTGGCTGGCCAGAAAGTTGTCACTGGGAACGGGAGGGTGAATTTCCATGGAAGCAGAATCCCGTGGAAATATCCCTTTAAAGCTGTACGTGCTCACAACGTGGAGATCAGTAGATGGTGAGTCTCAGCTAAAGAACGGTTGCTGCTGCATTATTTATGTTGCCTTCTTCCTGCTTAACGCTGACAACAGCCCAGAGGTGTGGCACATGTCTCGTGCTCAGGCCCCTTTCAGCTACGGGAGCAGGTGGATCTAGAGCTCTGTACAGCAAATACCAAAGTTCTTTAGTTTAATTAGCTTCTAATAAGTTGCTGGGCTTTGTTCTTTATCGTTAGCATAAGAAGGATGAGACCTAGCCTGATTCCCAGTGACAGACCTAGAGTTGAGGAAGCTGGACAGCACGGACTCCTGCTTTTTTCCCCCCATAATTCGGCGTATTTAGCTTCATGTGCCCTAAAGAGTTGATAGAAAGAAGGGTTAGGATTTGATGAGCTGCCTGGATTTTGGAGAGCTGAAAACTCAGATTTCTGCAGTTGCAATTCTTTTTTAATCTTCCTTTGCTTATGTTTATATTTCCAGAGAGTAGGTTTTAGCACTTAAATAGCAAAATGTTTATGCAGTTACTGTGGGTCTGCTTCATCACTTAAGAACACCCTGCTTATTGGTAATACCAGACTGATAATTTAATTTAATTTTACAGTGACGTTTTAACCTTGTTTGGTGAGATCTGACCAAATACTGCCTTGGACAATTTCCCAGTGTAAATATAACATGAACTGCAGCTGTGATTTCCCTAGTACCCCATCTCTTATTAAAACACGTTGTAGTGAGAAAACTGAAACTTTTTTCTACTGTCTTTCTCCGATGTAGATCACAATGAAGATGGTGCCAAAAATGCTGTCCCCTCTCGTCAAAGAATGGGCCCCAGAGGCATTTGTTATTTCCTTTAAACTGGAGACGGATCCCTTGATCTTAATCGATAAATCACGGCAGGCTCTGGAGAAATATCGTCACCAGGTGGTGGTAGCAAATATCCTGGAGTCGCGGAGAACCTCTGTTATTATTGTAACCAAAGACTCACAGACTCCGTTATCTCTTTCTGATGAGGAGATAGCACAAGGCATGGAAATAGAGGAAAAGATAGTGAGCTATCTTCAGGGCCAGCATACTGCATTTATAGAGAAGAAAGTCTGAGGACCGGCTCTGAATGAAGCAAGTGAAGTTGTACTAGAAAGGGAGAGGAACTGGAGCAATTCTGTCGCAGGTAAATAAAACAATCCTCAGTGAAACACTGTGGGGAAGGCTGCCGTCCAAAACAGTGTAACTTTCTACGGCTTGGTAATGATTATTGTTGCTTGCTTTGAAAAAGAAAAATACACTGAAGTGAAAACATTCCAAAGGATGACATTTATTCTGGTGTCTAAAGCAGGAAAGGATGTATTGCTTAATTTCTGTCCCATGGGCTGGGAGAACCCAGAGGTGGAGAAATGGTATATATGTCTGTATATAAAAGATTTTATTGAATCTGCCTCTTCAGAGTTTCTTTTTGAATTGTTGGATGGAAGGAGTGGCACTTTGCAGAAAGAAAGCTGTTTTTAAAACTGAAGTGGAGCGACAGAGCTGGGAATTGTCTGGTATTGAAAGTGGACAGTGAAACAACCGTGGCAAAAGATGGAGAATGAGGTGGTGACAACTTTGGAGAGAGCATCTGTTGCCTTGGGAGTGACCCAGTGGACCTGTGCTTCAAGAACTCTACTGAGAAACACAGTTCAAAAAATAGGTACTGTAGCAGTGTCCCTGAAGCAGCTGTTTCACAAAGGTTTTCCTTCCATGTTGGGTCTTCATAGGTTCCTGGGGAGGGAACAGGCAGTGAGGGTGGGGAGGTGAAAGCAGGTGGGGTAGCTGTGATCGGCCTTGGGAGAGCTGCCTCTTGGCTGTTTGGATAGAGTTAGAATCAGGACGTTGCTGGTTTTCTCTAAATCCTGCTTCCATATGGTTGCCAACTTCTAATCATACGTTCCTCATGCTTGCAAGAGGCAAAGTGTGCAATTTTGTGGTAAAAAAAAATTGAACTGCAGTTCTACTGCTGTCCATTGTGTGTATGCTTATGTGCTTTCTTTGAAATAAATTCACTGGAAGTCTCTAAAGCACACAAGACTGCTGTTCTCGTGCTTGAAGCCTCTCCAGAGGTGAGACTCTGCACTATTTAAAACCACCGAGCCTTGAAGAAGTCAACAGTGCTTTTGTAATGACGCTGATCACCTGCGAGTTAGGTGTGCTCATACAATGAGGAAAAGAAACCCAGAAGAGCAAGAAAGAGGTTGTGAGGATGGTCTGAGCAGATCAGGAGGGAGCACTGAACGCTGATGGACTATGATGGTGTGCGGGGAGGATATGTTTAGCGATGGGAGAAACAGGAGTGCTGAGGCGCAGCTAGTAGCTGAGTGAAGAGAAGGATCTAACATCTTCTGTATGGCCAGGACTGGTACTTGCAGAGGTGGAGCGAGAACTGAAGTGGAAACCATCCGTAGACACGGGAAGTGCCTGTTGGAGACGTGCACCTAGGGAAGGAGAAGATGGTGGAACGCCCTGTACACGTGTTGTACGTGCTCGTGAGCTCCAAGAGCTGCTGGCCTGCATCTTCCAGTATGTAATCGATGTGAGCATCAAATCTGCAAGTTTAGGGGTTTCTGTTGTCTTTATTTGGGGTTTTGCACTTAAAAGCAGGGATGGGCTGGCAAAGATGAGAATATAAAAACTTGTGTAAATGGAATGTGCCTTTGCAGGAGTGTTAGGATGAGGGGTGGGAGGAGAGCAACAAACACTGCCTTTGGGGTATTCTGGTTTCCTTCTGGAAGGTGATTGTGAAGGGGAGAAGTAATCTAAACTTTTTGAGAAGAGCTGGGCATCACCTGTCTTGGATGCTGCAGGAGTCTCAAGGGGCTGTACCCCCTCCTTCAGGAGGGTGGTGAGGCCCAGGCTGGGGAGACTTGCAAAGCTCAAACGAAGCCACAGCCATCCTGATCCGGTGTTGGTGATGATCCTCTTCCGAGCGGGAGGTTAAGACCTCAAGAGCTCCCATCCCACCACCGTCTCTAGCACTGGCAGCATTTGAGCACCAGCCCTTCTCTTCCAGGGGCATTGGTTGTGTCACCGTAAGTAGGAAGCGGCTGCTGCAGGTCCGGGACCATCTGCCCTTCACTCTTGGAGGATCCCAGACTCTGCTCACTCGAAGGTCTGCGCTGGGCGCTGCAGCGTCCCTCTTCTCCACGGCTTGGTCTTTCTCCCTTTGCCATCCCCTGGTGCAGTGCCTTCAGCTGGGGAGTCAGCTCTGCAGGATGAAGCCGGCTTTGTCTCCATCTCCTGCGTCATCACTTTACCTCGGGGGAAGCCCTTCGTCTTCAGCGGCTTCCCCGGGGATTGAGAAGAAAACGGGAAGAGCCTCCAGCCCCCCTTGCTAAGTCTGTGGTGCCAGCAGCAGCATTTCGGTAGGCGCCTCGGTTGTGCCGTGGACTCGAAGCGCGGGTGAAGGCGGGGAAGCCGCCGGGGGTGGGGACGTTTTTCCCGCGGTCAGCGGGAGGGGGCGGGGCCTTGTCCTGGCCGCAGGGCCGGGGGCGGGGCCTTGTCCGGCCGGAGGGGCGGGGCGCTCGGGGCCCTTCGTTGCCATGGCGCCGGGGGGGGGGGGGGGGGGGGCGCGCATGGAGGCGGCCGCCGCCGCCCCGGTGGGTGCCCGGGCCGGGGGTTGGGGGGTGCGGGTACCCGGGTCTCGCCGCTCACGACTTCCCTCGGTTCCCCCGCAGGCGGAGGCCCCGGTACCGGCGGAGGGCACCGGCGCCCCGGCCGAGGAGCGGCTGGGCCCGGCCTGGCGGCTGCTGCGACGCGCCGAGGCCCGGCTCGGCGACCTGGAGCGGCGGCGGGCCGCGGAGATGAGAGACGTAAGGGCCGGGAGAAGGGGCCGGAGTTACCCATTCGGTTTGTCACCCGAGCGTGCCCACCGCCCGCGCCCTTTGCGGCAGCAGGTTCACGGGTGTTCACAGCCAAAAGCTGCTTTCCTCCTGCCCTCAGGATTTCACGGGGGTGCGGCCCGGTGCCTCGCCCTGGGGCACCGAAAAGCACCCGGTAAGCCCAGTGTCTCCCACAGAGCCAGGGTTGAGAGGCTCCTGCGTCCCAGCACCTTTGTGCCCTCCTGCCCTCCACACCCTTCAGTCAAGTTTTTAACATCCCCAGATGTTACAAAGGTGTAAAAAAAGTAGTGTCCTGCAAATGTTTGAGGTTATCTTGTAAATATAGGGGGGTGGAGAGCTGTTTGTGCCAACTGTTTGCTCGTGAGACGTTGGTAGACATGCTCAGCTGTAGCAATGTTATCTTTGTTTCTAGGTGGAAAGCTATGTGGGTCACATCCGTAACCTGGTGGAGGAACGGGATGCTATCGCTGCCGAATATGAAAAAGAAAATGAACAGCTCAGGCTTGAGCTGACACAGCTGCAGCTGCAGCAGGGTAATCCTTTCCCTCCAAAACACGGTCCACGGAGATGCACTGGCAGGTAGTGGTGTACGGGTCCTTCAGCAGAGCTGGTTTAAAGCTTCTCAGAGCAGAGCAGCATTTCTCAGTGAGTTCTGATAGGACAGTGTGCATGGTGTGTTGTTTGGGAGGTTGACAGAAGTGTTAATGAAATATTAGAACTGATTTATTAGTTCTAATAGTTTATTAGAACCTAATTGACTTAGGTTCTTGTTGGCTTTGACTGCCTCTATTCAGTGGTTCGGACAGTTTCTCATTTTGTGAGGTTCTGTTGTTGCACTAAGCATCTTCCAGAGTCTGTTTGAAGAACTGAATTGATGGTGCTGTTTGTTTTGCAACTCTGAATAATTTGACACTGACTCCTCAGGTAATAAAGTGTTGAGCTGTGTTCCCCCAGAAGTCGCTGAATTTGCCATTGTCTTTGGTTTATACAAAATCCACATTTTTTTAAAACAACTTTGAGGGACAGTGGTATGTCTGTGGTGGTGATTCAAAACTTGTCCTGTGTGCTTATTTTAGTATAGGCATTTTGTTTAAAACAAATTATTTCACTTGTGTTTCACTTCAAATAATTTGCTTTCCTCTCAAAGCCTGGGGTCCCTTCCAGTAAGGAAAGATATATTCTGTTGGGTTTAGTTCTTGATGTTCTTCAGTCTTCCTAGTCTTCTGTTGTGCTATTAGCAGCACTTACAGCACATCATTACTATTAACTCTGTAACTCCTCCTTCTGTGGTGCGTGTTATCCTGGGCCTAAAGTAAAATCGGGGGTGGTAGCACAGCTGGAACAGTTTCTTTGTTATGCACGCTTTATTTGGGGCATAAGCTATAGGAATTTTGGGAAAGTGATTGCAGTTGAGTCTCTGTTCAGTTTTGGCCAGCTGCCAGGTTTTGGGGAGCACATCTGATAGACTTTTCAGAGATGGGTGTGCTTAAGCACTGCCTGAAAATCTGGTTGCTCTGGACACATAAAGCCATTGTATCGTATTGAAAATGCTGGTACACAGGGGCTTAAATGACTAATGAGCCTTCGGGAGCATTGCTGTGGCAGAAAATTTTATTACTGGTTCTTCTCTCATCTTCCCCACGAGGTGGCAGGCGAATGACAAAAATGCCCCAGAACCTGGCTTTGCATTTATTTCCTCATAGAGGCTCTGCTCCTTTGGACTTTTTCCTTTTTTTTTTTTTTTCAAAGGATTCTTGTGGCTGTTGAACAACGATTAGCACTCGAATGGAAACAGAGGTCCATGCTGGTTACCCTAGTGGGTTGCTAATTGCCAGCAAACCATCCTCGAGGGGATTTGTGGTTCCTTGGTGCCATACGGTGCTTCTGTGCAGCTTTTTGGAGGAGTTTGTTTTGGGATATTGCTGTCAGACTTTGGGTTTTAAGACTTGTTATTACCTTACTGATGGCATTAGCTGCAGTCCTGTGATACGCATTGATAATTTAGTGATCTGGGCAGAGGATGAAGCCCTGCCTTCCACCAGGCTGTCCTCTGCTGTGAGGGATGCCAGCCCTGGTGTGTTTTGGGATGCTTGTAGATTGTTTTCTTGAGGGACTAGCTTTTTGCTTCTCAGGTCAGTCTCTTCATGTAAAAAGCGCTGGCTGCCTCTGGCACAGAGCAGATGGATGTGCTTGTGCTTTAGCTGCTGTATTTTCTCAAAGACTTCTGTCAGGCCTTTGCCTGCTCTGGGTCTCTAATGTACCTCTGCTGCAGGGTTCAATGCTCCATCACTGTGTCTATTTGCTGGGCCTCTGCTTTTCATCAGAGTTTGTGCAAACCGATCCAGAGGTGCCTCTTGAATCATGGGGGATGTAGAACAGGCTGCAGGTTTTGAAGTAGGTCCCACTCCAGGTGGTTGTCTTCAGTAGGGTCAAGGTGATACTGCAGACGAGGCTGGAAACAGAGCTGGAGAAGGGTCTTGTGGAAAGGCAGACCCTGGTCTACTGGGATTGTTGCCCACATTTTTGTTTAAGGCAATAACAGAGGATGGTGGTAGAGAGCTTTTGGGAGGCTTGAGATGATAATGAGTTCAGATGGGAAAGGGCAGTTGAGAACAGAGGCTGGTTCAAGCCTGTGGTACAAAGGAGGGGCCTGACCTGCAAGTATGAGTGGACAGGATCTGTCCTGATAGTGCTTGTGGTGAGAGTTGGGAGTCCCAGCTCTGGGGGGCTGAGAGATGGGGAAGGGGCAAAGACTTGGGTAAATGCAGGAGATCACTTGAGTGGGCTCTCGGGGCTGAGCGCACTCCCTCTTCCGAAAGCAGCCAAATAGATCAGAAGCTCTGCTTGGTCTGAGGGTCACTGGGAGCAATTTGATCTGCTAAAAGCTATTTCTGATGATAAAAAGTAAGTTTCTATTGACATGTTTACTTCTTGCCTGGAACAGGCTCGAAGAGTTACTGCAGAGAGCAACCACTGCTGGTTTTATGTTGAGCTATCTGAGCTTTACCTCATTTGGCACCTCTGCCCAGGGTGAAATTTTCCCTTTCCTCGAGGCAGTTAGTAATCTGTTTCTGATGGTTCTTGTTGAATATGCCTTGGTGTTTTTGGAGAGTGGATCGATAACTCGTGCACTGCATTACCAAAAGCCTTTCTGAAAAACACATATAATGGCAGTAAAACACAGGGGGGCTTGCCTTGATTTGTTTAAGTGAAACAAAAAGACTAAATAGTCATGGCCAGAGTTTGCTTACTGTAACAGCTGTAGTGCTTAAATGTACCCAGCATGGACAAGAGGATGCAACTTCTGTGGTGGGTGGGAGGATACTAGTAAACCACTAATTTCTGAGAAACTTCCTGGGGTAAGACACCTTTGCGAAGATAAAAATGACTTCCAAAGAAGTGAGTGCAGAGGTGGTGCAGGAGAGGTGGGCTGGCGGGAACACATCGGTGCACTGGTACGACATCGCTTGCGCGAGGTGTTTGCACTTCTCAAATAGGGCATGTTGGATGTTGTAGGGAAGGTGTTTGAGAGACTCGTAAGAAATTACTGGGCTTTTACAAGCAGGTGGTCTGTGCTGTGCACGGCAGACTCCCCTCATTCTCCCAAAGCCTTTTCTTCTTCAGCCTGTGGAAAGTTTCTAGGTCTTGTTACCCCAAACTCTACTGCTTGGGTGTAGGGGAAGTACTTGCAAGTGAAACTGTCAGGGTAGGAGCCACCATATGAGCTCAGAGCATTGGTCCTAAAGGGAGATGGTTATCCCGTTTTTGGCCATAAAGCAGAGCAGCTTTCAGCTTATTTTAGATGAGTTTTGGCAGAAGTGGAAGGGAGCAGCAGGGCAAGTTGAAGGCAGGGGGGATTTTTCAGTTGAGTATGAACTGTGGGCTCTTCATAATGCATATGGGAGGAAGTGGCTACCTGTTTTTAAACTGCAAAACACAGTATTTTGCTCTGCTTTGTGGAGAGAGCTGCGAGTCAGCCATGTCTGACCTCTTCATTGAACAATTTGTGATATGTAGCCACAGGGGAAGGCAAATGGGCAACCGCAGGGTGTTTTCCATCCATGGGGCTGGACAGAGCTGGCTGCAAAATGCAGAGTGGAAATGTGCAATTGATTTGAGCCTTAGGATGTGATTGTACCAGGTACCCTGTTAAATCTAGCATATGGAAGTGAGGAACAGACTCATCCAGAGCTGTGTATATGTTCTCTGTATGAGTATGAGGAATATTTTCTCTGCTTAACTTCAGATGTTAACTTAGCTCCCTAGGCAGTGAAAGAGTGTGAATGTCCTTCTTTCTTCCGTACAAATCCCACAACTCCTCCTAGTTCCCATTCTACAGCACTTGGAAAACTTTATAATTTGGTTTGGGCTAGAAATTGGGAGCAGGGTTGTTTGGTTTTCTTTTTAAGATGAATTACATAGGGAGGTTTTGAAAACCCCTTCCTTTGGTTAACAAGCTATTGGATCCAGTGCAGGCGTTGCTGCCCTGACCGTGCGGAGACCAAAGGTTCCTCGTGTTCTCCTGGCAGATAAATTTCCAACCCTGCAAACAAAGGGATCTTTTCAACAACTGTTTGTTGCACAGATACAGTGGTGCCTAGCCATAAACCAACTTCTCTTGCAAATGTTATTGTCATCTGTTTGCCTCGGAGGCTACTGAATCTTGAAGTTTTTCCTGGTACAGAGTCTTCCTAGCTATAATTTTGTGATAAACAGTGAAGAATTGGCAGTTCAATTATAAAAGGATTTTTTGCACCTTTAATACTACAGGAGACCTTGAAACAAGAGGTCTGTGTTACCAGAAGCAGCCCTTAACCTGGGTTTATAGCTGGTTTTGGAGGAATGGGTCAGGAATGCTGTTCAGGGAGTGATTTTTGAAGGTCATGTTTTAAGAAGTACTCCAAGTCCCTTTGTACCACAGGATGCTGTTTCTCTGGCTCTGCCTCAGGCCCGTGTTGGATTCTCGCTGTACTTTCCTGTCACTTCACATGGGATCCAGCACCCTGATTTCCACCATGGGCTGTGCAAATGTACCAGGCGCTGCTGTACCTCACTGCTGTGTGTAGGGAAAAATAGAATATACTCACATCTAGCCCCCTACCAAACAGTCCTTAGGAAAATAGTGATGCTCTGCTTATATGAGTGATACGGTATTTTGTGTCTTTTCTTCCAAAGAAAATGTTTATGTGATTGCGTGTCCATCTGTTTGATTTCTCTCAGTGCCTATTTACTCTGTTGTTTAGTTTCCACCAAGCTGTATTAAGGGTTCAAAAGGGTTGAGGGATAACCAGGTTGGTGAAACTTAACTGCAAACTTAGAAGCAAACAAGGCAGGAGAACTCAGTCTAGATACAGCAGATTCTATCATTTGCTTGGCAGGCAGGGTAGTGGGTGTGAGCAGAAACGCTGGGGCAGATCAGAAACGTCAGGACAGAGGGAATAGGGCTGAGATAATAGGTAAGAACAGGGGGTAGGAGGCAGCGAGGGAGGTGGGAAGCAGGAGAAGAGACTTTAGGAGCTGTTGAGCTCCAGGAGCAATGGGGGCTGTTGTGGTGGGGAGTATTTAGAGGAGGTGGGATGCAGATCTGCAAAAAGGATGCTTTGTTTGTTCCTTTGCTCACAGCAAGCTTTGTCTTGCAGAAGCCCAGCTGAAGGAGGTCGAGGAGATGCTGGAACAGGAAGGCTTGTCCGAAATAGCTCACAGTAATGCCAGTGAACAGATTGCTTATTTACTGGTAGAAAGAACGACGCTGCTGGAGAAACTGGAGATCGCAGATCAGAAGTTGAATTCACACGGCTACACGGACAGGCTGTGTGTGGCACAGCTTCAGGTACCTCCTGCTTTAGCTGCTCAGGTTCACTGAAAGTGTGCTGGGGAAAAGGATGTCTTCGAGATACTTTTTAGAGTAACAATATTTCTCCTGTCTATGTGGATTCTTAATGCTGAAGTTGATTTCTGTGTTAGTTTTCACACTTGCATATTTACACTTGATTTGCTCCCACATCTTGCATAGGGATAGTGAATAGCATTAATTTTAACAGAGAGAATGTTGAAGAGTTTGTTCCATAGTTTGTCTGAGGATCTTCATTGTGTAACAATGACTTTCTACTAATCCAGATTTTCTGGTGATCTAGTGTTTAATTTCAGGTGACTGAGTTCCCCCGAAAACCATTCATTTAAGATAAAACTTTCCCTATACTTAAGGTGAGCTTAAAACTCTTCCCTTGTCTTCTAGCTGCTGAGCTAGAGGATGAGAGTTAAGCAAACCTCTGATTACAAACTGAGTTCAGTAAATAAATTTCACAGCATGACAATGATTGGCAGGTTAGAGAGGACCATCCATGTCTTGACTTGTTGCTTTCTGAGGTCGAGATGAAGAACGCTGACAAATGGTGGAGGAGCAGCAGCTACTGCATGTTGGAGAGATGGTTTGTGACCGATCACCTCAGTTAGGGAGATCTCCCTCCCACCAAGGCCACTGATTTCCACTACTGAATATGGCTGTTCCATGGAACTGGAGCCCAGGAGCTGCTGGCTCTCGTAGCTGCTGCTCGTGCGTTGCTGGCCTCACCCATGACTTAGTTCTGACAGCAATGGCTATCAGGTGTACAGGAGCACAAAAATTGCTGCACTGGGCCAGGTCTAGAGCCTGTTTAGCCCTGCAGCACTTGAGACAGTGTTAAGTTTTTCTTCTTTTTACCAATCTCCTTCCGCCAGCTCAGAAGTGGCCAGGCCAGGTTGCCCCCCTGGATGGAGAGGGGTTGTTCCTGCCTTGGGGACCCAGTGGCTGAGCTTAAGGGAGAAGGCTCCAGGCTGCAAAGGGGACACGGGAGGGCCAGGAGCTGCAGCCCCTGCAAAGTGCAGCTGCTAGCCAGGATTCACAGGAAAAGCCCTCCTGGGGACAGAGGGGACCAGCTGGGTTTGGTGACCTCCAGGTTGCAGCTGGTCGGAGCACAAGCAGGTGGAAGGCTTGCAGACAGACTACTTCATTGCTGTCTCACCTTCTGTCACTACCTTGTATTTTCTACAATTTTGAGCTTTTAGTTTTTCATTCAGATAAAACTGGTTTGGAGTTGGCAAGCTTCACGCTTTCACGGCGAGCTCACCAAAGGAAGAGAGAGGCTTGGCAGACTTGGGGCAAAGCTCAGCTTGGTTTGGGCTGTGCTGCACTGTCTGACCAGAAGCCAAATGCAGAATCTCAGAAGACGGTGTCATAGGAGAGCAAGTATGTCATGATAGTTCATCACAGATGCTCTCCTTACCTCCAGTGGCGTGCAGTGTCTGAACCAGAGGTGCTATTGTTGTGTCTAGTAGTCCTTGATTAACTTTTCTCTTCCATTAATTTGGTTGTTTGTTTAAACCCATGCAATTTTCTTAATATCCCCAACATCTTAGAGCAAGGACTTTCACAGTTTAGCTGCTGTTACATCAGGTTCCTTTGCTTCAACCTACCATCTCCTGGCTTCATTTGATGCTCTCCAGCTCTTGTATTAAGAGGCAGTGAACAATTGCCTTTTTATCTGCCTTTTCTGTGCTGCTTGGGATTTTAGCAGCCTCAAGAGCATCCTTTCCTGGCTGGAGGGCCCTAGTCTGCCTAACTCTTGTAGGGTTGAGTGTCATTCAGGATTCATCCATGGTACAATGACACCTAAAGATGTAAATAGTCACCTTGGAATTAAAGTACCTGTTTGCAGTGAGGCAGAGGAACTTCCCTGATGTGCTGCCCCTGCTCTTGGCTAGAAAATGCCACTCTGCAAATCCTGAATATCTACTCATGAATGTCTGTCACTTGATACAAACATCTGCTGCAAACACGGCATTTTTTTCTACAAAGTATTCTGATCGAAACCTCCCTGTAGTTAGAAGGGGGGAAGCAGAGCTGTAACCTTCCAATGAAATGCCAGTTAACCACATCTGCTGCTGAGCATTTACTAGGCGTGATTGGATTTGCTCTGCCTTCAGAGCCACAGCTGAGTATGGGATGTAGGGCCAGGGCAAATGAAGGATGCAGCTGCCTGCAGGTCTGCTTGGAATGTCCACCTGCTTGCATGGAGCTCGTCCTTCTGAGGATGCAGCTGACTTCTCCTAGCAGTCCCCTCTCAGGACTGTTCTTTCTAATGATCCTGCAGTGAATGGGTTTCTGTAACAAGACTAGTCTTGACGACTGGGTAAAGATGGAGAGAGTGTTGTTGTGGCTGGGCTGGGTGAAGGACAGAGCGAAGGCAAGATCTTGTACCTGGAAATAATACAGGCTGCCTGTGTGTGAAAGGACAATGTGGAGTTTACTTGAATTCCTCCTGGTACATGGTGTCAGAGTCCCCTGGAAGGCAGACAGGCCTGTAAAGGGCTGACTTGTACCCACTTTTCATGCATCTGTTTAGAGGAATGAGACTTATTAAAGGAAAAGGTATTTGTGTGTGATCAAAACACATTATAAGCTTAATGCTCTTAGTTTCTAATCAAACACAACTTCTCTGCAGTTCTTCTACTGGGCACCTTTCTTTCTGTGTTTTTAAAACCAGATGAAAGATACATTGGAGAGCTATTATCCAGGAAAGCAATTTCTCTGAAGCGGACTGTTTATTCTCCCCAGATGATGTCATTGCTGTCCATACTTGGGAACTAGAAAGTGTTGATTAAGCACTCCATTGTTTGGGGTAGCATCACACTTGTTTTACAGAATCATTAGTGTCACAGCAGTGTTACAGGTTAATAGGTTAATTACTTTTGTTACTCTGTTTACTGGGGGTGTAGCCTTTCTTATTCTCAAATGACCCGTTAAGTACTTGTTTCACTCTTAGACTGAAGGTCCAGACAGGTTCCTGTCTGTTAGAGAAATGATTGCAGCTTTTAGCTAGAGTGCTGAAGCATAATTGATTTTTTTTTTTTTTTTTTAATGTGTCCTTGCTAATGCAAAAAACCAGGGTGCAAACATGTGTCTTTGTGTGGTCGTTTCTAATATATACGTGGGGAAATGCTTTCTGTGTTCTGGTAGAAAGCATGGCATGTACAAGCATGCTCACCTCTCTAAAGCTGAGGTGCAAAATATTAATGACAACCAATCTCATGAGTGTTAGCAAATCCTTGGTGCTGGTTTGTGTGTGCAGGCTGCAGGGGAGCAGGAATCTGTTAACTCGGTAAGTGGCTCAAAAGAGAGGGACTTGGGGAAGTAACCCAGCATTACTCTGGTGAAGTGAATCAAGCATACTCAGCTCCAATACATTTCTTTGGGCAAAGCTGAGCCCATGGGTTCTAAAAGGAAGATGCCAAGGAGATCACAGGTTTTAAGAAAAGGTGGCAAACCCAGAGTTCCCAGTACTAGCTGAGACAACTGAGGGATTGTCACAAAGATTTGGGATAACTCTGGTTGAAATGTTGTCTTCAAGTATAAGGTATGATTACAAAGCCCCTTTTAATCAAGATATGTTGAAACTGAAAATTGTACACACTGATGTTGAGGGACACGTGGCAGTCATGCTCTCAGTTGGTGTTGATTTATTAAAATCTCTTTCTGTGCAAGGATGAGTTTAACCACATTCATCAGACATCAGAAGACGATGACCAACAGCAGCATGAATCCATGCAGCTTACTGGAGAGACAATAAATAAGGTAACATATTTGCACATTTTCTTGCTGATGACATGGCACATAGCTGAGATTTCAAGCAGTGAGTCTGTTCTTGAGTACGCTGTGTGGTTTTTTACTGTTTTTAGCTGATGGGATGTGAGTGAGCTCTGAATTTGAGCCTGGTGTTACGCATGAGTTAATTGCTTCTGCTGAGAGCCAGTGTGAACATCTCACCAGCTTTGGGTCAGGGCTGGCTTGTAAGCACTCGCCTGCCTTTAATGATATGTCAAAGACACGTCATTGGAGAGCAGTGACCAAAGTCAAGGGGGTGAGAAATAGCTCTTTTTCTATCAGCTGAAATGACTTTTCTGCAGAATCCCAGATCAGTGGGAGCAGTGTCTCTCTCCTGCTCTCTAGGGTCAAGTGCAGATGGGAGGAGGAGGTTGGCAGTGCCAGGCTGGCTTGGGGCTAGCTCTCACAACAGCCTTGGGACCACAAACATGCAGAACTGACTTTTCCTGTGAGCAGACTCTCACGGGGTGTGGTGGAGCCCTCTGCTTGGAAAACCTCATATATTATGCATTTGAAAATGTATCTTAATTAATGGCATTGTGTCAGGGAGGGAAGACCAGAGCCTTCTGTAGGGAAACAGCCACACCGTGCTGTTCAACAGCGGTGTTTTCGCATGTGCTCAAGGTGAAGAGGGTTATCCACTGCGTGTCTGTCCCCTGCATCTGCAGTGGCTTTCCTGAGCTTACCTGCTTTCTGTCTGTTGCCAGCCCTGTTCTGGTGGGACAGGAGTAGTGCAGAGGGGGGACCTGCCTTGTGGTTGCAACACAGGGAGGGTTATCTCATTTTTGTTGGAGCATTAGCCTTTGTGTTTCAGTTCTACAAGGAAGAGCTGGAGAGGGAGCAAGCATCACGTGCACGAGTTGAACAAGATCTGGATGAGGCCACACAGAGGCTGCTGATGGCTCAGGAAGAGATTCAGAGGTTGACAGATGAGCTGGAGGCACAAAGAAAGGAGCAGAGCAAAATTGGTAAGTGCTTCTCTTATGTGCCACTCCTAATTACTGGCCTGCATTTAGCCCACCCCTGGTTAGTGTAAACCTTGGACTTCTCACCCAGGGGAGTTGGAGGCAGGCTGTCCTGTGTCCTCTCTGCTTGTCACGTGGGAAAATCAGTCAGATGTTAGCCTGGTACCTAGGAGATGGGAATGCGCTCGTTAACAGTTACAAATAATTCATTCTGTGTGGGGAAAGCTGAGACATGAGGTTATCTGATCTGTGATTACAGCAGCAGGGTCTTGACTGGATTCCTCTCCCTGGCTCATGTACCGGGAGAAATTCATGCCCTAGGAGGTGATGGAGAGGAAAGGATGACTTTGTTCAGAAACAGAGTAGCTCAGTCAGTGTTAGCAGAGCTGGACCACTCATCTCTAGGTTCTTCAGATGCTGTGCTTGGGATGCTGCCTCGTTAGGAACCGTTAGCAAGTGCTCATAACTGGAGCTTATCAGCAGTCTTGAAGTGACTGGTTAGATTCTTCTCACTGCTAATATTTGCTTAACCATATTAAAATAACTGTGGTTGACCAGCCCTTAAGTATTACAATTTTTTTAAATGCTGCCTGTCAAAACAAACAAGTTTTCTGGAGGGAAATCAAACTGCTTGATAAAGCTCCTACTGGAGCGGTTCCCAAATCCATGTGCTTCACCGCTACCCCCTGCAGGAGATTTTCCAAGCAAAACACTGGTTTTAGGATGCTTTTTTTGTCTGGATTACTTACATTGCCCCAATAACTGTGATGCAGAATTTCAGTGGAAACCAGCAGAATGCGATGAGATAACATGTTCCTGCCCCATGTGCCTTTGCAGGGACTGACTCGTTTAAGGAGACTGGTACCACCTGGGAAGGGTTTAGGTGTGAATCGGGTCCTGGTGCTGACCTTGCAGTTTACGTGCAACACTGGGACCTAGCTAAACATTCTAGCCAGCCCCTAAACCCATCGTTTGCAGCCTTTTAATCAAAGGCAGGGAAATGAGCACTCTGCAGGCATCTGCTTTGTGTATCGATTGATACACGTGTGCCCCTGGGGACGGAGGGAGTGTAGTGTTGCAGCCTCCAAACAGTCCTGCTTCTCCAGATCACGGCCGGGCTGCAGTGTGCGACTGCTCTCAGAGGATCATAGCCTGCGTGGGGAAATCTGTGTTTTGTAATCTTCTTAAGCATCAAATTAATGTAAGGCTTTTCAAAACTGTGAGTAAGGGTTTAATGCTTGTTATGTCTGTGTGGTTTATTATGCCATGAGTATTAGCATGCAAAATTAGTGTTAGAACATCTTAGTGGCTTCCCTAATGCTGCGTATCCGTATGCCTTCTCCTCCTGGTGTGCTTCAGAGCCAACTGCTCTGTGAATAAATTGATTTTGTAATACAAACCTAAAATGAAATCTCTGATCTTTAGTAAAACTCTGCTTAAACAGTGTATTTTGGTTCAATGATAGCTTGCAACTGCTTGCTTGCATTGAAGGGAAGATCCAAGATTGCTCCTGGCCAGTTTGTAGCCCAGTTATCGGGTCTTTGGTGATTAGAGATTTTAAATTGTGTGCCTAGCTGTCTGCTGCTTTAATTTTTTGTCTTCAGTTTTCTTTCAACTCTGTGTTTAACAAAGTGCATTAAAAATGTTGCAGAGCTGAGTGTTCAGAAGCGTGCAAATGGACTGCCACAGCAAAACTCTTTTTATTATCCTTGTAGAATCAGCCTCATGGTCAGCTCTGCAAGTGCCTGAGAGCCGGGAAGAAGGGGTGAACGAATGGCGAGAGTGTGGTAAGTTGCACTATTTACAGGCAGGGAAGATCCAGAATTTTATCCAGGCTTTCTGTAGTGGTAAATGGGCTTTTGCCCAAAATGAACACTTTGGTAGAAGGTGTTCCTTGCCTTTTAATTTAGATTACACAACTGAAAATCCAGTATTGAAATCCTCCTTTGAAACAGGGGTTTCAGCTTGGGATTTGATGTTTTGTTTTGTTTTTTTTTGCCAGCTTGGGACCAGGAAGATACATTTTTATTTTTGGCTGAATAAAAGTAAAATTTAAGCTGAAATTTCCTGTGCCCAGTGTTAAGCTCAAAAGGGAAGAATCTTTGTTCACCATTTCTGTAAGGAAAACTCTCTTCTCACTAGTTTTTATTAGGACACCAGTGTATACTCGGACACATTTCTGTCAATGTGCTCCTAATACAAACATCTTTTCCTATTTCTTGCACTTGAAATACTAGGTAGTCTACATAAATTGGTGTGATGGTTGCATATATTTATTGATTCAGACTTGAAGGGTTGGTATGCAACCACAATTGTTACTGTACTGGCCACTTCATAAATATTAATGCTAGCACAGCACTGATACATTAACTATGACTGTGTTTCTGCTTGTAGCAAATTATGAATTTTATGATGAAAAAAAGAAATATGGCTGTTCAGGTTTTTCAAAGCTTACCCTAGTTGTTTGCAAAACCGATACCTAAATACCTGAGGTGAGGCATTTTCTGTGATCTAGAGGTAGGAATCCCTGGAGTAACTATGGCGAGACTGCTGTGCTCCTGTAATGAGCATAGCACTGCTGTTGGACTTGGATCTCCAGAAAGATAAACCTCTATGATGGGAGTAAGAAAGTGTGTTCCCATATGTATGGGGAGCTCCTGTGCGTGCTGTCGCACACGTGCGCCTGTGCATAAGGGCAGTGCAATTTCAGAAATCTTCCTCGTGGTAGCTCCCTTCTGTGCTTGGTCAAGGGCAGAAGTGGTGTTGGTGACCATTTTTTTTCTGTTCTGTACAGACAGGACTGAGCTGCAGGAGGCCATGGAGCACAACAGCAGACTGGACAGGGAAATTCTGGCGTTGCGAGCACGGGTCCAGACACTCAACTTGGAAAGAAAAATGTTCCTTGATCTGGTGAGTGCCCACCTCCTGGTCTGCCCTGGCACCAACAAGCCTCTGTGTGGCCGACAGCCCTGGGCTGGCTCCTGACATTCAGCCCTGCTCCGTAACCTGCCCTGCTTCTCTCTTCCTTCTCTTTTCTATCATCAGTCTTCCCAGAGCTGTGGGTCTGATTTTTCATGGCTGGTGGAGTAATAAACTTTGGGAAGCGGGCAGAATAAATATCCAAAGAGTGTTTTAAAGCAGCTGCTGTTACTGCAGCCCTGAAAAATCTCGGCTCCTGGAGCATCCTTCAGTGCAGGAAGAGTTTGATGCTTCCCTGAAGGTGGAGGGAGCTGTGGATGCTCAAAGTGAGAATGTGCTTTAGGGCTTGTGGGGTAGGGCCCTGAAATACATGTTTGCCTGTGCCCAGTGCATGGGATCAGCTGATACTTCCTGTTACTAGCCAGTGTTTGCACAAAATCAAGTGGGTAAACAGAGTAAGCAACATTTCTACTTTTTCTTGGGGTCTGTTACTAAAGACAGCGAATAAGTGCAGTCTAAAACCCAATACTAGCTATTTTTAAAACAATTTTAAATTTATGCTCATATTTTGATACCTCTCAGCCGCTTTAGCTTTTTAACGTGGCTATGTTGATTTACTCAGTAGAAGATAAACTTAGTCCTTTTCATTTTATGTGGGCTTTAAGTGAATTACTATTACATTACTATTAGTGGAATACTTGGTATTACATTACTATTAGTTCAATATGTGATGCCATAAATTTAGGATTCTCTAAATGCAATAATCTTCATCGGCAAGAGAGTTCCTTACTGCGATTGCCAATAGTAAATGAATGTAACAGTCCTTCTCCCATTACAGTGTGTCATTTGGCACAAATTCTGTTTCTGTTCTTAACTCTCAAACTCTTTAAATCAGTCCTTCAACAGGCTGTAATTGGTTGCCAGCAGTCGGTAATTACTGATGTCAGTGCAGCACAGGTCTCTCAGCAGCTGCCTTGTGGGTTGCTTGAATTAAAATGAGTATTTTTAACAACATAAGTATCTCTGAAAATACCATGCCTGTTTCTTTACAGTAATATTGAAGACTTAGTTTCTTGAATATAAACTATTCACATTTGAGGATTTAAAAGTTTTTGTTCTGTTTCTAGCGTTTAAAAAAGTTGCTGGTTCTTCCTTAGAATAGCATCTGAGCGTATCTGTAATCTTAAACCTTGTATTTACAGGACAATCTGTTTCTGGGTCTGCAAAAAAATATGTAATTTAGTTCACATTTCTTGGTTAACTTTTTTTTTTTTAAAGGAAAATAACATTTTATTTGCTTTAGGACATAGTTTCTGTCGCTATGTATACATATACATGTATGTATATATATTTTTAAAAATATATATATACATGTATGTATATTTTTTAAAAATATATATAAAAGAATAAATATATATACACAAAAATATTGAGATACATGTAAGGTATTGTTTTCTCTGTACAAAAAAAAAACAGGTAGCCAGACTGAGATAATTTCCAACCATCGATGTTAACTAAAAGCAAATTACCTTTATTCCTTAGGAATGAGGTTTAAGTGTTGGCACAGAAGTTAGAAAACCACAATTTTTAATTTCTGGCAGCTGAAAGTGTACTTTATTATGAGCCACCCAAGTTCTGCATTCTGCAGTCTTCTTTCTTGCCTGTGAGTTACGGAGCGCCAGGTGAGGAGCAGGCTGGCCGGTTGGCTCTGGTTGGGTGGTCTGTGGGAGACCAACCTTGTCCCTGCCCTGTGTTCCACCAGTTGGGGTGTCGAGCCTTAACTGTGCAGCACCTGGTGCCTGCTTGGCATGAGTCTGTGGGAGTGGGCTCTGCAGGTGCCTGGGGGTCTGGGTGGAGGCTGAAGAAGGGAAGAATGCAGGCTGAGAAGGTGGCGTGTGAAAGCTTTGCAAGGGCTGATGGCTTCAGATACCAGCAGTGCTGTTAAATCTGCAGAAAATGATAAACCTGGGACTGTCTGCACTGTCTGCAGGCCTTCGAGGGCCCATCCAGAAGCCACTGTGGGATGACCCTGCACTTCCCAGCAAATGGTTGGGGTTGGCCTCCCAGCTACTGCTCTGGCCAGTAGGCCAAGAGTGAGTGTGTGAGTGAGGGACTGTGTGAAGTGAACTGTTGCCTGCTAAAAATAGTATATTGATCCTGTCAAAAAGACTAAATGGTGTCCTCAGAAATAGCAGTGGTAATCTGTCTATCCCTTTGCACTCAGTTCCATTCGGAAAAAGGGGTGTATGATGTGTGCATGATCAGTAATTGAAATAAATGAAGGAAAATCACTTACCCTTTAATGCAGCACAGCATTCCCCCTTTTACTGCTCTATCCCTCTCTCAGTCTGAGGCCACCCAGCTGGAGCAGCCACGTGATCTCAAGCTGAGTGGTTAATATTAAGAAATCTGCAGTTTATCTACAGCAAATTTGAGGGGAATCTTAGTTCTCTAAGACAGCAAAATGAATATGCACCAAAAATAAAAGCAAGTGTTTTTCTTTTGAAGGTAGAACAACTCAAAGAGGAGATTTGTGAGTATCAGAAGAGCGAGAGGCAAGGACTTCCCTTACCTGCGCCAAGAGGGACTGAAGAAGTTGCAGCATCCTCCCTGCAGGTATTTTCAAGGGCTTTTTGTTTGCTGTTCTAGGAAGCAAGTTGAGCAAACAGGCTGCCCTCTGCATTTCAGCCCCGTGCCATAAATGAAGATGCATGGCTTGTAGTGTAGAAATGCTTGTGTTTTCTTTTTCTATGTGTGCACCCTGTGCAGGTGCGACGTTGGATTTATGCTGGGCATGATGAATACACTAAGGTGTAGAGCATGTCTGTTGGCATAAACTAATCCCACTAGTGCCTTCGTATTATAGGTCGGGGTGGGTTTTGCTCCTGTGGTTGGTGGATTATCTAACGCAGGTAGAGTAGCCAATGTAGCTCATGTTTTCTGGTTCTTTTGTTGATGAGAGACTCGGGTAGCTTTGGAATCCCATTGTGCTAAGATTTCAGTCTTCATTATGTGTTAACTTTTCATTTTCTCTTGAGACACAGGGCACAAAGGATGAAGGCAGGATTAAGGGATGCTGTGTTTCAGGCGAAGCTGGCTCTGATCAAGAAGACGGATATCAGGGTAGTGAAATGCTTCATAAAAGGTGAGCAGTGTCCTTTGTCTGTTGTGTTTTCACAGTGGCTTATTTGATGCTCTGGTTGCTGGTATTCTGCCTTGCAGAGTGGATTTAAGTACTGGATTCTTTAGACTATTCTTTGGTACTGTCTTTGTTCCTCTGCTCCCAGATCAGAAAGTTTGCAGATAGTGCAGTCCTGAGTGGGTCTGTGGCCCTTGGTACCAAGAACGTGGGCTGTTTTCTGACACTTTCTCCGGTTTGTTGCTTTTCTAAGAGAATGGAGTTGGGCTTTTGTGGCTCTCTGCAGATGGAAGTGTTATTTTCAAAACTGTTTTTCTGCTGAGAAGATTCCTCTCGATTTGATTGCTGTCCAGGGGTGTACCAAAACACTTAGCTTTCAAACTTAAATGTGTAAACTGGGATTTTTAAGGGCAGTCAAAGCTTTGTTCTCCTGTGGCCTGCTCAGGAAGCTGCTGCGCCTCTAGCAGATTGAAGGAGGAAAGGGGTTCTGATCCCATCCCTCTCTCTTTTTCCCTTCAAGCAGCTGAATTTGCCATTGCCTCTTTGCTGTTAGCATCCTTGTATCTGACCAGTTTTCTCCCCAGACCTTCATTGTTACTTGGGTAGAGCCTGCCACCACTAATTCCCATGCTTCATCACCTAAATAAGAGCAGGCACGGGTCACGCTGGATGCGAGACTCAAAATTAGGAGGACAAAAGCATTCCATGTAGCAGTTCTAGCCTTGGTGATTTTGGGCTTTGGTGCTAGGTGCCGAGATGTGATTGAAAACATCGAGGACCAGAATTCACAGCTCCTTTACAAGCTGCAGAAACTGGAGCAGGAACACAAGGATTTGATTGAGCGCAGTGAAGAGCTGGAATCAATTCTGGGAGAGACACAGATCCAAACTGAGCAGCAAAAGGACCAGCCTGAGAGTGAGGTGGAGGGACTTCACCAGAAAGTAAGTAAGGAATGGAAGAAATAACATTTGTTTTTGTTTAATTCTAGCTGCTTTTCTCTCTGCATACTGATTAGTAAAATAAAATGATGTTTGACCCAAACCTGCATGCTATGTTGTTTAGTTTGACAAGAAATGCAACTAGCACAATCTGCTGGTTTCAGAAAAGAGGGGAAAAGAAGGGAAGAATTCCAACAGTGATTAAATGACGCTTGATTGGAGGTGCAGATTCCCCCAGTGTCACAGCAGCATTGTCTCTTCCAGCTCCTATCCACCCTCCTTGGTGCTTGGACAAGCAGAATTAACTACCTAACGTACCTCCTGCATCCACGGGAGTGAGATCGGGGAACACTCCCTTCCCATACAGCCTTTCTGTACGTGTGGGCTGGGCATCCTTCAGTTTCTTGGCTGTGCTGAAGCAAAGCCTTTTTGTTTCAAATTCAGGTTGCATCTTTTTTCTCTGTAGCTATTTCCTCTGAAGCTTTTGTAGCTTAGAAACTCTGATTTCCCCAGAGAGGCTGTCCTAGATGGCATCAGTGTTCCTGATGGGCTTCAGTGTTGGTCACCTGTAGGAACTGCTTTTTCCATGTTGGATGGTTGTTTCTTCTGCCTGTGGTTCCTGCTGAAGAGCAAGTCCCAGGAAGCCCCAAGTCCTCTTGAGGCTCAGAAGAGAGGCAAGAGGTTTTTCTGAAGCCCATGGGTTGTCCCTTAATCCGGCAGCCATGATAGAAGTCCAGGCTTTGACTTGAATCCCTAACCCCTCTTGAGACCTCTCCAACGGGTGAAGACGGTCAGTGTGGGACACTTATGCTCCTTGATCCCAGGAAAGTCACCAGTTAAGCATGCTAGTGACAAAAGACTGTACTTTTGGCTTTTCCCCAAGCACAGTATCTTGGAGACCTATCAGCCCTCGTGGCAAGCACCGAGGCACTTCTAGGTGTGAGGGACCAGGATCTGGACTGCCTGGAGACATCCCTGCTGAAAATAACAAAATTGAGGGGACAGTGAATTCTCTCACCACCTGCTATTTCTTGCTGCAGCATCTGCTGTTGAATGGAACAGGCATGGCTGGACACATCTTTCTGAAGAGCTGTGATAAGCCAGTTCATCTGGAGAAGCTCTGCTCAATCTTGATCAAGATGTGACCTTGCCAGTCTCTTCCTAATCCATGCTCTACTTAATTTTGGGCACCCTCAGCCCAGGGAAATCTGGATCTTTTCCTGTTAATAGGGCAAGACCACTCAGATCATCCTTTGACTTCAGTAGGTTGACAAAGTCTTTATTGTTTCCACTTATTTGCATGTGATAGTCAGGGAACCTCTGGGAAATGGCAGACGTGAAGCACTGTGGTGATTATCTGGTTTACCAGAACCATGGCAATATTAGAAGTCTCCTTGCAACACCTGCAGAGCCATCTCCATCAATGTTTTAAGCAAGGCTTAAGTTATTGCTGAAGCTTCTCAGCCTGATGCTGCCTTTGTCAGAGTGGTTTAGTCACTATTTACTGCATGGACTCTGGATCCCTCTGGAGGTCGCTCTGTGAGGAGCACCTGCACTTATGGATTGGTTTGTCACTGCTTGCCCCCCAGGGAAAGTACCATTTGCAGCATTTGTGCAGCATCACTACCAGGGCATGTGATCCGTTACAGACAGGGCAGCTGAAGAATTTGTAGCCAGAGAGAACAGAGGAAGCCAGAAGTTGGTCTTGCTAGATGGGTAGGTGTGTTTCTCCCCAAAAAGGCTGGTTGAGGAGGTCTCTTCCTTTAGCTGAAGCTCTGCTGCCTGGCCAAAAGCTCTTCCTTGGGCTGAGTTGCCCTCTCACCTCTGTCTGTGGTTAAGAGATGCTCTCCTAAGTGGTTCTGGATTGCCAGGCAGCAGGACCAGTCCATAGTGTTCCTAGAGGACTTTGGATTTCTGAGGCAAGAAGGAAAGGGACACACACAGGTTTTCAGTCAGGAGTGAGCGGTGCTCGCACATGTCCGTACACTTGCTGTTGTGTTAAAACGTGATGTAGGAGATGGTGCAAGTGTGAAGGCATATCCTGTGCAAATGCTGAAGTAGCCACACGTCTTCAAGATGAAAATGCTCAGAGGAAGAAAAGATAAAATACTTGTCAGCAGCCTCTGGCTGTAGGGGAAAAGTCTCTAAATACAGTGAAACAGACTGAAGGCATGCTCAGATATCTTAATGAAGGATGCCAGCAGACATGTTTCTGTGTGGTTGAGGAGCCAAGGGCAGGCTCTCTGATGGGAAGGGCAAAAGGTCTATCCACCATGTCTGTGCTTTTGTTTAAACCGGGGTTTGTTCAGCACACACTAGAATGCTTCCCACTTTCTCACTGGAGCAGAATAAACAACCCTCCACAAATAAAACAAGGTGCGTTTCCAGTTTGGAGAAATCTCTTCTTTGCTCAGTGTTGTTAAACAGATCCCTGGGAACACAGAGTGAACGCAGCAAGGAGCACCAAGTAGCCAAGGGGATGCAAGGCATTCTGGCTGGCATGAGCTCGGCAGCCGCTGTAGCTGAAAAAGAGACAGAAAAGAGGCAGCAGGGCAGCAGAGGGGGGACGGGCTGGTTTGCAGGATGAAAGAGGAGGTGGGTTGAACCTCAGCTAAGTCCAGCGCCTGCTCAGATGGAGAGCTACACCCTTCATCTCCAAGGGGCTTTTGGGTGTGTTGGAGGTAATGGGGGAAGGACTGCTCAGAGGCAGGTGTGCTGGAGTCTGGAGAAAGCAGCGCTGCTGGGTGTGTGCCAGGCTGCCCTATGTGAGAAGGGCTTGGGAGTCTTTTCTGCTTTGGCACACCTACAAAATTCTTGGCTGATTAAGCCACTGACTTGGAACAAGGATGTTGGGATACAATGTGAGTATTGTTCTTCTGTTGGCGTGGGACTTACGTGCACAACTTCAAGGCTCAAAATATAGTGTCCTGGAGGAAAAATAAGCAAAATGATGGAACTGCACAGCTAGGTATCCACTTCATGGCCAAAGGTTGGCTGGGGGGTGGGGAGAGGAGGTGTATTTTGCCTTTGAGATGCCTTCCAGAACTCCAAAGTCTTGCTGAACCCCAAACTTTCATCCAGTTGTGCAAGAGGAGAGGGGTTTATTGCCCTCTAGCTCTTCTGTAAGAGGCCTGGGTGTTTCACCCCACTGATTTGCTTTTAACACCTAGGTTGGGTAGCATCATCTGTCTTAAAAACCAGTATGACAGCAGCTTTCCTCTGTTAAGAGATCTTTCCCTGCAGGGAGCCTCAGGAGAGGCATCTTGTGCCTGAAGCCCCTCAGTGGAAGCCAAGCTCCTGGACTTTGACGTGCTGCTTTGTAACCACTTTAAATGGGCTGGATTGGCAGAGACTCGGCACCTTGGCTTCCCATTGGAAAGGAATGAAAAATGATCTCTGAATAAGTGCGAAGAAAGGAGGGTGGGAAGGGCATAAGGCATCTTACGTGCTTCACCATACACTCATCTGTATGAGTGGAACGACAGATACTGCTGTGTGAGTGTGGTGTATGCTGTGTGCAGAGCAAGCTGGACTTCACCTGCAGTGATCTTCATCTACTTCCAGTGTCCCCAGTCTCTCTGTGGCCTTGTTCAGTGAAAGCCCAGCTTGGGCAGTTGGGGACGCCAGCTTGGTGGTTTAGAAATAAGAAAACCAGCACAAATTTTCTTCTGAGAATAAGGAGCTCAAAGGAAAGACTGCTGAATTCCTTCCTAGTGGGCAGCAGAGCAGAGATGCTATGAATGCTGAGACTTGGTTTTTGCAAAAGGGTCTACAGGAACCATAATGGGGAGGAGAAGCTAGACTGCTTCTAGCTCCTTTAAGCCCTTTAAAACTGCAGAACTAATCATTGTTGCCACGAGATAGCTCTCAAGGGCAGATGCCTCAGGGGGGATGGTGCAAATGCAGAGTGAGCACTTGTCCAGACAAACTCTTTTCCTCTAGGAGAAGCACAGAGGTCAAGTGTTTCGCTGGTGCAAGTCGAGAGTCCTCGGAGCCTTGTAGGAGGGAGATAAAACCTCTTCTGAGTGGTGGAGGGACCAGCACAAGTTCTGGTGGACCCAGGTCAAACATCTGCTTGGATGAGATCAACTGTGTGGGAGTGGGCACTGTAACAGCATGGGAAAGGAGACTGGCCCGTGATATAAATCAGGGTGTGATGGGGTCCTCTGTGTTGGGAGAGCAGTGTGCAGGAGGCCCACGGGCTGTGGAGGCTGGGACCATGTGTCTGGGTCATTTCTCCCCTTTTGTGGAGCAGGGTTCTTTCATTTTCTGACTTGGCAGTGGATGGCTTCTTCAGCCTTTGAAACTGCAGGATGAAAGATATAAGCTGGAGCTAGCCCATGCTGGCAGCTGTCCACGTCCCCTCCTACTCCTTGCTTCCAAACATGGGGCTTATTTTGTTGGAGCAGCACAAGGAACAATTAATTTAGTAGTAGTTGTACATTTAGTACTAGCTGTGAGTACTGGTTTGGTTTTAACTTGTGGTTTGTCTATGTTAAGATCACGAGTTCAGAAACAGAGTTACTTGAAGTGCAGAAGAACAAAACTGAGATGAGTGGGGAAGAGCAGGCATTGTCTGGAACACAAGAGAAGCAAGAGGTAAGAGGTTTTCTTTGGGAAAAAAGATTGTTTTGTTTAGAAAGGTATTAAATGCGCATCTCCTGTAAATGCTCCTTGTCACCATCTTCTGAGAATTTGTAGCCCATCAGTTTGTGCAAGACAGATGGATGTCTTTGGAGGAAGGCAGCTAACATTCTAATATGATCTCCATAACTCATCTCTCTTGTGAGATTGTCTTGCCTTCAGCACTGCAAGCTGAGGAGCTTGTTGACTTGCCAGTGAGGGTGAAGGGTTTACATGTGTAAAAGTGCTTGATTCTCATTTAGGGTTTAGTGAAACCTAGATAGGTAATTTTATAAGGCTGTTTCCCAGCTGGTTTTGGGCTGGCTTTGCTGTCAATTTGTTACTCGCCAGCCAGCCAGTTGGATCTGCCAGACAGAACTTATTACATGTGGGAGAGGGCTTTCCCAAGGCATCTTGGGTCAGGTGGAGGCTCCAGGCCTTCAGAGATGTCCTGCCAGCCCTGGGTATAAGGTGCAGGAATCTTGCTGGCAACTTTTGAGAACCATTTTCCCTATCCTTCTTTTCTAGAAGGCACATTTTCTGCAATTTGTTTCTCTCTCGCTAGAATACATGATGCTGTAAAAGTGACTCTTAATTTTGCTTATTCCAATGTTGGAATGCTGTCAGGAAAAGATAGAAAGGTTCGGAAGTCATCTGGGAGAACAGAGGGAAGGGAGAAGGCAACTTGCATCCGAGTTTGAACTGTTACAAGAAGATCTGAAGGCAGAGAAGGTATCGGGCAGCCAGGTACGTATAGCTTCTGCAGTGGGACTCCCTGCAGGAGGCACTTGCCTTTGGATGACCCCATAAAACATCCCCAGTTGCCCCTCAGGTGCATTGCTTGGCTTCTCTTGATGCATTTCTCTAGTCCAGCCAGTTTCAAAGCTGCTTTGGCAGATGATTTTAAATCCATCTACTTTAATGGAACTGTTTCTGACTCTAACTTATTGTGCCTTTCAGTGAATCAAAGAACAAAACAGTAATTCAAACTTTGTAGCCATCATCCCCTTTTCTAGAGTGGAAGTTTTCAGACTTAGGTATTTGTTGCAGAGTTACTTGTGATCAAAAGGGTCACGATCATGAGCCTTCGTCTCTCCATGTCACGATATGGCAGGGTACTTGCAGATTTGAGCCAAGAGCTCCCTGCAGAGCAACATCATGTTTACCTGTTAGCAGCGATTGCTTTTCTGAGGTTGATCAACTAGCTAATTCTGCATCTGTTTAGCACAGTCCCCTTTAATAGTATTCTTTCTTAACTAGAATATGGCATGATAAGAAGTCAGAACACCATAGAGTGAGAGAAGTCTACATGAGCAGCTTGCTAGGATCCTGGTGCTGCTATTTGTGTGCTAAGGACCTCAGTATACTTTTCTTGAAGCAATTTATCTGCTAGACTGACTTCTGGCAGGTTTATCTCTGCTGGAAGAGTTGCTGGTGCTCTTATCTTCCAGTTGGGCCGTAGAGGAAAGAGAGCGTGTAAGGTCAGCAAAATTGCACAAGGGCTGGCACAGGCAGGACAGGGGCTGAAAATGAGGCTGACAATGTAGGAGAGCTGCAGATGTGTGGCCTGGATCAGGCAGACAAGGGGGACCTGAGGGAGTCTGTCAAAGGAGGGGGTTCCATCTATTACAAACCCCATATTTTAGCACTCTGAGAGGCCTTAAACCAGCTGTGAGTCACGTCACTTCCTTGACTGTAAGTAAAAACAATGGAAGTCCAGAACTATTGGCACAACTGCACATACACAAGAGTCTTACTGGAGGAACAGTGTCATCTAGAGGACAGGACTTCATCAGTGCTGTTAGGCAACAGCTTCATATTGTAAAAGCTCGAGGGGCGGACCAAGCCTTGCCAAAGAGCACTTTAGGAAGGGGCTAGGTCAGTCTCTGAATACGCACATGAAAAGGAGTGATCTGATTAGGGGCATAACGGGGAAAATGGGAAGAGACACACTTTAACCTTTGCATCCCAATAGTTCAATCTACTTGTGGTCCAGGGACATTTTAATCAAAATCATGCATCCCTGTAAATTTGGTTGCAATTCAGCCACCAGTTGCTTGGTGTTTCTGCCTAAGGAGAGGACTACTTTTCCATCACAGGGATCACAAGATGAAATCCAGTGACCTGTGTTAGACTGTAGCAGTCTTTAAAATAGAGGATTCTGTATGTGTTTGGGATTCCTGACTTCATTCCCTTTTGACAAAGCAGCTATATTGGGATGAATCATTTACCAGCAGAGTGCTGCAAGTTATCTTGGCATGAAATCATTGGGGTCTCATGGGTGATACACACCTGGAGGTCTAGATTTGAGGTTGTTCAATGTTGTGTTTGTCAGGCTGTCCAACACCTAGAATGGGCAAGTAAATTGGGTAGTACTTTTGTTCTTGTAAATTTTTATGATATCCTATGAGCTGATTCTATGCAAAGAGCTCTTTGCATTTGTTGGGAGCTCTCTTCTTGTTTTCAAGATGTTTTTGGACATTTGAGAGGAGAAAGCTTTTTCTGAGCTTGTAGTTCAGGGTGTATTATATCCACTAACTCCTGTTGTTTCCTCACCAGGGGTTTCCTGACTCAAAATCAGAATTTACAAGCCATTGTAATAACTTCCTGAGTCTCTAAAGTACATAAGCAAGCAGGGATGTCATTAATGTATAACCATGAGAAGCTACAAAAATACAGTGCTTTCTTAGATACAGAGGTGAGAAGTGTAAAGAAATACCTGTTGTTCTGATGTCTGATGCAGACAGAAGCTGCTTCTGTATGTTCCTCAAATTTAAGTACATCTTGGTGTAGATAAGAAAACCTGGAATTGAAGTATTAAGTACTAGCATACACTCAGGAAGAGCTGTTGATTAAAAAGCTTCAGGAATCAAAGTAATTGCTAGTGTTTAGTGGGCTGAACAGTATTTTCCTTTGAAGGATTTGGGTTTACCTCTGCTTAGCAGGAGATATTAGATTAGGCAGATTCTGGTTCCAATCCAGTCTGGGAGTTCCTGTGCCCTTAGGCACTCCTAGTGCTTTCCTTTCTTGCACTTCTTATTTTCTTGGCATCTTCTCTTCATGTCTCAGGTTTTGGGTGTGCCATTGCCTGGTGTTAGGGGGTTAGGTGACACTGAAAGCGGAGAGCAGCCATCTGTAAAAAGATGTTTTAGGTTGACTTGGATGGAGGATGCTTTTCATGTGAGACAGCTGAATACACACCTTGTGCTATTCCTGTTTTCCCAAGAGTTGCTAGATTTGTAAAGAGATACAGCATATGATATAAAGCCCTGAGAACTACAGATGGGCAACAGAACGATGAAATCAAATAAAGAACTGTGATGTGATGATAGTTTACACACAGCTACTTCCCATGCAGAAAAAAGGACTTGAACATTCATCGTCAGGGGTGAAGAACTACAATAATTTAGCTTCAGAATCAGAAGCTAAATGGAGTCCCCAGATTGCCTTATACTGCTCAGAAGATTTCCATGAAACAAACAAACAAAAAAATCAGTCATGGTGTTTTCTGACCTTACAGGTCTCTGGACTCCTACAAGAGAGAGAACAGATTAACAAACTCGAGCAGAAATGTGAAGATTCATGTACAGATGAAAAGACATATGAAGAACAGATGGCTAAAGTCGTATTTTTGGAAGAACAGATCAAAAACTTGAGGGATGAACAAGAATTGCTCTGGTAAACCTTAACAAGGCTTGTGGTACTTTCTGCTCCTTTGCTGATTTTTTTTTTTTTTATCTTAAAAATCTCCATAGTGCTACTTCTGTCAAAAATAGGCACAGCAGCTTTGTGTCTTAATGGGTAATTAGTCCTTCTGTAGAGATTTTGGTGAATAAGGATTTTCCTTAGTGACATCATGATCAGTCAGGAGTAAACCACCTTTGCTGCAGCTGTTCCAGATTCTGAATGGCATGAGAGAATCTCTAAATGAGAGCTGTCCTTAGGAAAGGCTGATTCTCTTGGAGTGAGGTAGTTCTTGGACTAACACGGTCCCAAAAAGCTCCCGTTGTGGGCTTGGGCTCCTTGGGGCTAAGTGCTGCCAGCAGCTGATGATCCACATCCTGCTGTGGATTTCAGTTGTCCCTGGAAGGCAGGTGTCAGCAGGCGTCAGGGTTGTAAATAAAGCTCTTACAGGTCCCCCGACTCCCCATTTTTCAGTAGAGCAATACAAATTTGGAGTTGGAGCATCCGTGCTCAGGCTCTCATTAGTAAGTAAAAGCTTGGATTAAATCGAATATAGTTACAGTCAGCTCAGTTACCTGAATAACCAGGTAATGAGAGAAATTAAAACCAGGATAAGAGAGCTAGGTTAGCTTCTAAGGACGTATAGTTAAAATCAAGATAAATGGGACAGCTTGACTGGGAGATCTGAGCCTGCACTTCCATATAGCGAGGTGTGAGAGTGCTCCTGTGCTGCTTTGAGCACAGACCAGCTCACGTGCCCCCATGCGAGTGCTTCCTTAGTCAGCAGTTAACCTACTCGTGAATGACTGAGAGCTGACCTTTTGGACACATATTTGGTTTGTGTGGGTCAGTGTCCAGGGGAGACTGACCCTTGCTCAGAACTGCTATACCCAGGATTAAATCCCCTTTGGATTCTCCTGAAACGCTTGAGTGTTGCCTTGAGCATTTCACTGGTCTCTCGTATCCTGTTTTTCCCCTTACGAAGGTGGTTTCCCTTGGATGTGTATAGTTATCTCTCTCCTTTCCTATTTCTCCTTCAAGTTCTAAATTACTAGAAAGCAAGAAGAAGAGGGAGGAGCTAGAAAAGCAGCTAAAAGAGAGCAATGAAGAAAAAACGTTGTTACTGGAAGAAATTTCCCAGCTAAAACAAGACAACCTGACTACCTGGAAGCAGGGTGACAGCATGCTCAAAGAGGCTTTGAGGATGAACGAAGGCATGGCGCATAGAGAGAACGGGTTTCTCATGTTGCAGAGCTCTTCAGGCAGTTTAGATGGGAGCATTAAACAGGTATGGGCACCTTTGCCATCTGCACCATTCTTTTTTTCCACTAATTTAGTGTCAAACCCTAATTAAAGTGGACTGGAAGCCAGTCCTGTGGTGTTAGCGCGCACTGGGGAGATGAGGCTGACTGATTTCCTTGGGGAAGATGTTTGGAAAGTGTGAATGTCACAATTTCCTTTTGTTGTGTTTTTGGATGTAGTGAGAACTTGGATAAACTGAATTGCCCCCTTAGTGCACGTGAAAAGTTAATACAGGCCTTCAGTGGTGTTTTAAACCTTTTTGGAGCACTTTCTCAACTCCTTTTTGGAGTGTGAGAAATCGAGCTGGGCTGGCTGTTCCCACAACAGTCTTGCTCTTGCTGTAGGCAGAAGCTGTTCCTCTTCCCTGCTCCTCCTTGGCATTTTCTGCTCTTACACTCCAGTGCCTGAACTCATCCCATATCTGCTGCCCTGCGGTGGCAGCTCACAAGCAGCTGGGTTTTGCTGCAGCCCTGTGCCTGTGTCTCAGTTACTGTTCTCCAATTGCTCTGCTAGCTGGCAGGCAGAACCCCTATTTGTCACTATGTTTAGCTGTCTTTTAAATGCAATTTTTTCACCTTTCTTACCATGTTATCTAAAAAAGAAAGGGCAGAGCAGTTAGTCCTGCCAAAAGGGGAAGAAATGATGAAGGTACCCAGGCTGGGGAGTCTGAGGAGGAGCAAGGATTATATGCAAGAGTTTGGAAGAGAAAAGAGGACAGGGTGGCCTGTAGGCAGGAGAAGTGGAGAGGATCAGAGTCATGCGGATACCGAGAAGCACCAAATGTGTACAGTTAGAGCAGACCAAAGGAAGATACAGGGTGCAGAGGGGATACTGAAAAGGGTCCAAATAGAGGCAGGTGGGGGGAAACCCCACAAAACCTAACTGATCTTGAGGATAAATGACATTGCCAAATCCAGCAGTGCTGGATCACGACTTCTCAGCTTGGAGATTTAGCTGGGGATTTATCTGAGAAGGGAAGCTTGATCTTCAGCGGATTTCATCTGATCCCAGGAACAGAGGGTGAAATGCAAAGCGGGAATGCGAACTGACAGGCGGTTGAAAGTGACGCTGGGAAGGAGGGGTTTGGTACACCAAATGTGGGAAGAGCTTTTAGTCTGTGCACAAGGCACTTGCAAGAAGGTGGGAGAACCAGAGAGCTCAGTTACCTTCTGAAAGCCGCCGTCGCCTGTTGGTGTCCAGGCCACTGTCGCACTGTGCCGGCGTGCCTGTTGTTCTGCTGCCAGGAGCTGCGGTTGGATGGGCCACTCCTGCTTTGTTGCCTTAGTGAGACTCTGGCACAAGAGTTAAGAGTAACCTGGGTGGTTTTGCTTTTGTTTGACAGGGTAGTTTCAACAGGGATTTGTTCCCTCGTCCGGGTCATTACATCTTCTCCCTCTACCTCAAGAGTTGTATCAGCTTCTCTGAGGGGATGGACGGGGTAGGGAGCAGGACATAGTGTGGGAACAGGAGAAATACTTGCCTGGCTTTACCCATCTTCCTACTTAAATGCCCTTTTATCCTACTGGCATACTTGTACCTTTCTTAATTACCAGTCTTTATCGTTCCTTGAAGTTAATTTCCATGTAACCTTTGTCGTTTTGCTGTCTGTGCAGAGTCTGTCTGATGAGAGATTCCAACAGCAGGAGGAAAAAATGCAGCAACTGCGGCAGGACTTGCGTCGAGTTCAGAACTTGTGCAGCTCAGCTGAGAGGGAGCTGAGATATGAAAGGGAGAAGAACGTCGACGTCCAAAAGCAAAATCTCTTGCTTCAACAAGAGTGCACCAAGGTAGGAACCGAGCAGGGAGAACTGCTTGGAGAGAGCACCACATAATTTTGCAAGCTGTGGAAGTTCTGAGGTGCTGATTGCAACAAACTGGATCTCACTGACATTTGACTGCACAGTAGCAGGGCTCTCCAGTGTGCCCTGTCTCAGCTCCATGGAAATTGCACTGCCTCCAGATAAAGTGTGCTGTACTCGCTCCTTGTACTTCTCTTTTATTCTTGTTTGCTCTCTTGTAGTCCTGTTGCCCCTTTCCTAATCAAGACATTTCAGATGATATATGCTGAAGTGCAGACTTTCTTCTTTTGAAACTTAGGTCAAAGCTGAGCTGAAGCAAGCCCGGGCAAAACTCTCAGACACAACTGAAACGTGCTCCTCTCTCTCAGCGCAGTGGGGAAGAAGCCAGCAGAAGGTCAGAGAACTCGAACAAGAGCTCTTGAAGTGCTCCCAGGCTGATAAACTGCAGAGCAGTCTGCAAGAGAAACTTGCACAGGAGAAATCCAAAGTATGTGAAGCACAAAGAAAGGTAACTCATCAGCATGAGCTAAGTTAACAGGATGTGTTTTCAGCAGTTTTGTGCAGCTGAAGTTCAGGAAAGAAGCACTAGCAGGTTGTGAATTGGTTCCCTGAAGACCATTTTGCTACTTTGTTTTGAGATCACCTGGCTAAGTATTTTAGGAAAAATGTCTGCTGGTAGTGGAAGCATAATCAAGACAATAGAAGCCGAAACTGTCTCTAAAGCTCAGTATCTCTGAAAATATCGGTAGTGGGGCTGGCAGGCGCGGGGAGCCCAGACCACATTCCTGCTGATGAGATTTGCTGCTGTTCGCTATGTGGTAAATTGCAAAAGCTTGTGTTTTCGGTGGCATCGATTTTGCCATGATCCTGCACTAATTGTGGGATTTGGTGTTGAAATGTGCAGGATCAAATTAGGTGCAAAAGGGGTTGTTGCTAATTGAGGACACTGTCTGATCCAAAATCTGATAGCCATTGGAAAGGTTTTGCTTTTAATGGACTTCAACACAAAGACACACAGAAGTACTTTGGAGTAGAAGTAAGCAAATCTTTCATTCCCATGACCCAGATACTGAGGGATCAAAGGGATCTGAATGCCTTGGATTCAGATACTGACCTATAAATTCAGAAAGTTTAATCTGTGTCCAATTTTATTCCAAGATTTCCAAACTCCAGCAAAAGCTAAAAGATTCACAACACCAGCTCCTGCTGGCAGATGCCCGTGTTTCAGACAAGAAACTCCTGGAGGAAGAATTAAAGGACGCCCGAGAAAATGAAGCTCATGTGCAGCATAAACTTCATGAGGAGCTGCTGAAAAGGTACTTAGAGCTGGGTAAGGCCTGCGCTGCATGCGGAGGGGATGTGTGTGCCAGAAAATGCTGCTGTGCCAGCCTGCAGCTACCTCCCACAGCTCCATGCCCGGCCCTAGGCGGGTTGAGGGAGTCATCGCACCTCTGGTTTTATTTCCTTTTGACCTGCCTGTGTCCCTGGCAGAGCTCCACAGCACCACCTCTGTATTGAGATTTAAAAGATTTTTGGAGGGTTCAGCTGCCTCAGAAGGCGCGTGGCCCTTCCTGCCAGCCCAGTGATTTCGTTTGTGCTCTAGATGCCAGCAGTCCCCTTTCATGTGCCGCTGGGACATGGGGGCAACTAGGATGCAGTGATTTCTTTCACTCCTCAGCGTTGCCCAGGGTGGGTGCAGAGCAGTGTGATGTTGTTTTTAGATCACAGCCAGCCTCGAGTTCAGTGGTACATCACGGTCTGGCCTCTGTCAGTGTCTCACTGTCACACCAACACGCTTTTAGGAAGCTCCTGGAGCAGCAGGTGGAGGAGCTGCAGCAGCAGCTCTGGCATTCGCGGGAGACGGAGGCGTCGCTGACCAAGATGCACGTGGAGCTGCAGGCCAAGACTCTGCACGTTGTAGAAGAGGAGAGGAAAACTGACTCGAGCGAGGTGAGCTGCTGCAGCATGGACGGGTCCTCATCTCCCGAGGGGATGCTGTGCTGGTGACTGACTCCAGAGCAGGCCACTGAGCTGTAGGGGAACACGGGGCCATTCCAGTGTGAAATCTGTACCTGGGAACTGCAGAGATAGGGTCAAATCCAGCCAGGTGCTGAGCCCTTGCAGATCCCACTGATTTAAGCAGGAGCTGGACGAAAAGCTCTGTCTCATCTCATGTAGGTTTCCTGGGGATGCAGCTCTGAGGGCAGTGAAGGAGGACTTGAAGGGAGAGAGGAAGAGGCTGTCCCCTTTTCTTGCAGAGCATGGAGCCTTTTGCAGGAAAATTTTTGGCAGCATCTGCTGCCTCGGGGGATGCATTAACTGCCTGTGCCCTGTTGAAGCCCAGAGCCACCCCAGCAGCACAGAAATCCACGTTCCCCCTTTAAGAGGAGGAGGCAGAGGCCTTGGGGGGATGGAAGGGGTAGATATTATCTGTACTGGGAACCACTGGGATTTATGACAGAGAAGCTTTGGAAACCAGTCTGAAATGAGGCAGAGGGACCCCTACAGCTGCAGACACACACACAAATAAAAACCAGATGTTTTCCAGCACCTTCAGTGTCAGAAGGAGAATGAGAAGCTTTCAGAGCAACTTTCACTGTTGAAGGAGGAAAACAAAGCCCTTTATGAGGAGGGAGTCCGTCTCCTGAACCAGAAGGATCTATATGTCAGGTAATGACTGAAGCAGCAGGGGATGTGTAGACACAAACAAACCCACCCAGGAATTGCCCTTTATGTGCCTGACAGTGACACTGGATTTGACTGTGCTGTAGCCTTTGTCTCTCTTGTTGAAGGCATTGAGGAGAGAGAGATCTGCCTTAACCTGACACCCCTGTGTGCAATTATGCCTCGCATGCCTGCTGTCATATTCTCACTGGCAGCTGAAGGCAGCATAGAAAACGAGGGGGTGCCTCGGGAGGGCTGCTCTGTAGGGTCTGGCATTGGCAGAGATGCTTCATGGAGCTGCTCGTTTCTCCCCAGAGCACTTTTGATCTAATTTGAAGCACAGTAGCCTTTTTGTAATGAGTTTTGAGCAAATGTGGGCAAATATCCCTTATATGGTAGAGATTGGTCTTTTTTTTTTTTTTTTTTTAAACATTGTTTTCCCTTCTATCCCAACTGGATAAAAATAATCAAGAAAACTGCCTAAATGGAACAAGTTTGAAGGGAAGATCAACAACTGCAAGTCTTAGTAGAGACAAATATTTAACCCCAGTGTTGCAGCTCTAAGAAACACCCACTGAAGTAGCTCTTTCTGCAACCTGTTTGCCTGACCCTTGCTGTTTAGGATTCTTTTTCAGCTTTTTTTCCCCCCATATAGAAGTATTTACCCTTAACCACCCACATCCTCACCCAAATAAATAAATTAAGCTTTCCCTGTTAATTCCCATTTGGTGACTTTATAACCCTGTTTGGTATAAAGAGCCGAGAGGGGAAAGCATAAGGATTTGTAAAGCTGGGAGTCAGTTTGGGGAATGCTTTGGGTCTTTTCCCTCAATCAACTTCCATTCAGTTGACATTTAACAGTATAACCTCTGCAACAAAAAAAAATCCCCAAATTCATCAGTGAAAGACATAGTCTGGAAAGTCTGTATGCTCATTCTGCCTTTAGCTGTGCAGCCAAAAAGAGCTGGGCAGACGCTGAGGCTCCCAAGTTCAGGCTTTGAAGAGCTTGAATAAATACAGGCCGTCTCCTGCCTTGATCTTGACCCAGAACACGAAAGCATTTCACAGCCTGATAGTTGTGTCTCTGCCTCCTCAGGAAATACAACGAAATGAAGCTCCACCACAAAGACAAGATCCGCAGAGCCAAGGAGACCTTCATCCACGAGGTGAAACAAAGGGACAGCAGAATCAAGCAGCTTGAAAACGAGCTCAGCGAGTCAAAGCTCCAAGTGGAAAAGGTGAGAGAACACACCAGGGCTTCTTCCGCGAGGGAGGGCAGGGGAGCAGACTGCAGTGTGTCTTCTGAAAAGAAATGCAGTTTAGGAAAAAAGGAGATGAGGTTTAGGAACAGCTGGATTGCAGGCAACAGGGTTGCACTGTTAAAGAACCAGACGGTTGGAGCAGGAAGAGCTCTGCCTGATGTGCTGCTCCTGCTCTGTGCACAGGACTGACACTGCCCTGGGAAACAGCTGGCAGTGCCAAGGGGCTGCAGCCTGTCCTTGTAGGAACAAAGAGCCAAAAGCAAATTCCTGGCTCAAATTTGCCCTCGGGGGGAACCTGTGTCCTCAAATCAAATTTAGAAGCTGCCTAAGCTCCATCTTATTTTGCCTCAGAAATATTACTGCTGGGAAGTGACTCAAAAGCCTCTTTTTGGGGTATGTTACGTCGAATAGTGTATCGCTGCTGGGAGTGAACCTGCTTGGTGGTGAGCCCTTTGGAAAGCACTCTGAGGTTTACAGAGGACAGAGGAGAACAAAGTGTAACTGCTGGTGGTTGTTTCCGTCTGCAACACTGCTCAGGGGAAGGTGCTGATTGTACAGATCACTGCTGAGAATGAGAAGTTACTCCAGGACAGAAGACGGCTCCTCCAGAAGATAACTGAGCAAGAGGAGACCCCTTGGAGCAACCGGTCTTCGACTGCCACCCTGCAGAGCGGGTATGTCCATGCCTCCAGGAGCCTGGCCCTTCCCAGTGCTTCTCTGGTTTTATGCCTGTTTCTCTTAAGAAATCCAGAGGAAGGCCTGAACTGCACCCCAGTCACTAGTGCTGTGGCTTTTAATTGCTGTGGGATGTAATTAGCCCCTTTCCCCATCAAAGCCCTCGGATGTAGAGGCCAAAGGGTTTGCAGATGAAAAAGAAAATGCTCCTTTGAGAATCTAGTGTGGCTGGAAGGAAAATAACTCGTGCCTTGTGTGTGTGACGTGCTCAGAGTGAAGGTTCTGGATGAGGAGAACGTGCGGCTGCACAAGAGCAAACTCCAGCTCTCCAGCCACGTGCCCCCCTCGCCACGCATGCCAAGGAGCATCCACACTCCCAGCACGGAGGTGAGACTCTGAGAGGGCTTGGTCTCAGCAGACAGGCTGCAGGAGCTGATGCCTTCTGCGAGCGTGGGTTGGTGTTTGTAGCTGCAGCTGAGGGTGCCGGAGAAGAGCTGAATTGATCCTTGGGTGGGGATGGAAAGGGGCAGCAAACACACCGTAGAGTGTAACGGCTTTATCGGTGAGGAGGGACTCTGGGGAGCTGCAAGCTCAATGCACTTGCCATACTGCTCCATCTCCGAGCTGCTGCACAATGAGATCCTTCTTCACAAGGACAGAAACTTCACTCTGGCTCTTTTGCATATTTAGGGTTGTTAAAAGACCTTGGTTATAAAGTTAGCTTTAAAATTAAGAGAAATAACCCAGAGCAGCATGGTTGGGAAGGTTATTCCTGGAAGCCAAAAAACCTCAGACCAAGCTGATGGATCATATTGACTAAACTGAACTGACTGAAGATGTGCCGTACCCAAAAACTCAGTTTTGTCTTGACCAAGTCAACGAAGAACTTTTGAGGGGGGGAAATGGGGAAAAATCCAGGAAAGTCAGAGATTGTGTTTCAACAATTCTTCAAATGAAACAGGTGGATTTGGAAGTTTGTTGGTGCATTTTGAAACGTGGAGGGAACCCAATTTGGTTGGAAATGAGCTGTTAAGGATGAAAACACTGTTTGGGGCCTGGCAGAAAGAGCTGTTTGTGTGTTCCACTGTATTTTATTTCTTTCTGTTTGCTTCTCCTGGGCTCGTTAGGTGTTCTTTTTTTAGTTTAAATTCAGACCCAAAGGACAAACCCATGATCGGTACCACTGTGGGGCTGGAGTTCATGGGCAGAACTGTCAGTGGAGCTGGGGGCACTTTGAAGACCGAGACTGTATGTTGAAATTTGGGGCCTAACATGCACCTTCTCCTCTGAAAGTCTCTGTTCCTCCTTCCAGGACTCGAAGAGTTTTAACTTCTCTGAACGCCGACGACAGAGTAAGGTGTTGCCATCTCCCCGTACCAGGTACTGTGGGGTAAAAGGAGGCGGCACGGAATGCCTCTGCATATGATGAGGGAGAAGTTGAGCATTTTGGCTGCTCCACCCTGTGCTTTCACCTCCAAGGGTGAAATCCTTCCTTTTTTTTTTTTTTTTTTTTGGCCAAATTCTAGGTAAAATGGTATTAAAGGGTCTCTGAAGCTAATGGGATGGAGAAGTAAAATTTTCAAAATATGTCACGGAACACTGGGGGATTTAGATATCATCTTGGTGCCCTGGGGTTTTGGAGGACTGTTTTTACACAAGGTCCTGAGACTTGGAGGGCCGCTGCTGCCCAGAGCGGTGACCCACGTCCCAGGCTACAGGGCAGGAGGCAGCTTGAGCTCTTCCTCCACCGGTGCAGCCAGGAGCACCACGATCCCTGCCAAAACAGGGGAGGGGAAGGCAGAGAGACGCTGCAGCTCTGTCCTCTGCTTGCTGGAGACCCAGCGTGGTGGGTTTGATTACAGCCTTTGGGTGCTGTGGAGGGGGGCAGACAGTCTGGGTAGGTTCTGGCGTAGATGAGGGCAGTCAGCTGCTTGGCTGGAGAAAGAGTATTGGTGCCTTAGTCCAAGGGAAAGGCGCTGAGCATCGCCTTGTGCTGCCCAGCAGAAATGTTGGGAGGAGCGTTGCAGCTGTGCAGGTGGTGGAGGGTCAGGTAGAGTTTGCAGAATGACTCCAGAGAGGAAATTTGCTTTCAGCTTCCCATCACAAGAACTGCCAGACTCTCTCAGCCCCCTGAAGGCCACACAAGACACAAAGCCGGAAGGAGAAGCTGAAAGCCAAGACTCATCCTTTGGTTTATCCCCCTCTCAGCCTTCTGAGATCGGCTACTTAAATGTAGCTTCTCCTGGAGACACCACAGCCTCCCAGCTGCAGGAGGAGAGTCAGAGCATCAGCTCTGAGAACTTCTAAATGGGGAAAGACATTTGTAAAATGTTACCTGGACTGCAAGGTTTTGGGCTTCAGTTGCTGTGGCACAAGAAGGACTGCAGGGGGAGAATTGCCAGACAGACGGACTCTGTAATTTCTGTGATATATTTCAACTCCTCTTCTTACCCAACTGTGAATGTGTCTGTGTGTGTGATGCCACCCAGAGGCTGGAATTTGTAGATAAACACAGTAAAATGGAAGAGTGAGGCAAAGCATATCTTCCCCTGAAACCTAATTCCTTGTCCAGTCCAAAACTACACATCCTGTAAATAAAGCCAGGCAAAGTTCCCTTCCACTGTCTGCCTGCTTTTCTCCATTCCCCTCGATCTGTGCTCAGAGGCAGGTCCTTCCCCTTTTTTCTATGCTCTTACCCCTTCCATTTTGCTTTGTGCAAGCCTGTCGAGGGAAATGGGGGTATCCAAGCACGGAGGGAAGGGATGAGACGGTGTGGAGAACGAAGATGGGATGTGGAAGGAGGGGATCTGAGAACAGGGGTGATTGGCAAAGGACCAGAGAAGACAGATGAAAGGAGATGGAGGGGATGAGGGAAATGGAATGGGAGCAGGAGAAAGGAGGGAATCTGAACATCCACAGGAGGCAAGAGGGCAGGTCTTGAATGGTGCCTGACAGTCATGGAAACCTGTTGCAGAAACGTCCAAATAAACAATAAAAAAACTTGCTTTTATACACAATTAATCGACACTCCTCAAGCGTGCAGAGAGAGGGTTCCAATGTCCGTGAGAGGAGAACAATCACCACACGGACTTCTGGGGTTCAACAACGGCCCCAGACCCTAAACAGGGCTTAAGGACAACCCGGAACGCTCAGTCCCTCCCCTAATGACAGGTCAGGGCTCTCAACCTCGAGGAACGCCTTCGGGCAGCGTCCCAAGCCGCGGGAACCCCACGGAGTTTCCGTGGGCCGTGTCCCGACCCAAGGGGAGAGCCCTTCCCTGCAGCACGCTGCTGCGGGCAGGACGAGCCCCAAATGGCTCCCCCAGGGACTCCATTTACACCCCAGCCCAATCTGACCTGTGGGCAGTCCCAGCCCCTCTTGACCCAGAACCCCAATTACTCTCAAGCCCTGAGAACAAGGGCGCCGGAAAGGTTCCACAGCCAGGAAGCCACATTTTCATCAGGCGGCTGCACCTGCCACGGCTTCCCAGAAGCAAAGCCTTTATTTTCAGGGCCAGGCTGCTGCCCTCCGTCCCCGGGGGCCGGCCCCGCCGGGGAAACCCCAGCCTGCTCCCTCCAAGACGGTTCCGTGCCGTGGGGGCTCTCCCGGGGAGCGCGGCAGGGCTGAGCCTCAGCAGGGTTCAGGGCCTGGCTTCCAGGCGTGCCTCCTCCTTCCCCTGGGCAGACATGCTGCAGGGCAGAGGGCGAGTGCGAAATCTCCAGTGCCCAGTTGGAGGTTTTCGTGGGATCTGGCGAGTGGCAGCTGAGGAGAAGGTGCTGACGTGCATCAGGGTGAGTGCAAAAGTCACGCTGTGGCCCCTGACACCCAGGGCTGCAGAGAAGGGCACTGCCAGGGGTCCAGGGTGCCCCCAAACTCATGCCAAGAGCCCAGGAAGCACAAAGAGGGACCTGGGGGGTCCGGCCGCCACCTCTTGTGCTTCCAGGGAGCCCTGCTGGCTTCCAAGGAGCCCACTCTGCCCAGCCCGTCCGTCTGCCCCGCGGGCGAGCGCTGCGGAGGTGCTGGGAGAGGGGAGGAGGCCGGGGGGTCCGCAGAGCGTGCAGGGAGGTGGGAGCCTCGGAGAGGTGGCCTTGGGCAACCCTGTGCCCCCGGACACAGCGCGCCAGGGGCTGTTTCCCTCGGCCACGGGGCCTGTGTGTGTGCAGAGAGGTTCTGAGCACACAGGCCCCTCTGCCCGGCCAGCCTCTGCCCCGGCCCCGCCCAGCCCCCAGCGCCATCTGATGTCACTGAGCCTTTCATGACGTCAGCACATTCGTTCCCTAGACCTTGGTTACCGGCGGTGACCTGACCACACAGTGCCTGGCGGTGCTGGCTGTGTGCTGGTGCTGTGCTGGTGCTGTGCTGCTTGTGCTGTGCTGCGGGCTGGTACTGGACGTGCTGTTGGTACTGGTGGCGCTGGTGCCGGAGCTGCCACTGGTGCTGGTGCCAGCGGTGCTGGTGGTACAGCTGGTGCCAGCGGTGCTGGTGGTACAGCTGGTGCCGCTGGTGCTGGTGGTACAGCTGGTGCCAGCGGTGCTGGTGGTACAGCTGGTGCCAGCGGTGCTGGTGGTACAGCTGGTGCCAGTGCTGCGGGCGCTGGCTCAGCCCCGAGGCAGCTGCCCGTGAGCTGCCGCTCCTCGGGGCTCGGCTCCTCTGTTGGCAGCCGGCACCCGGCAGCGCCCGCCAAGTCCTGCCTGGCACCGCTCCCCGGGGAGAGGCGAGGAGAGGTGGTGCAGTGCCCATTCCCGCCGGGCCATGGGGAGGATCTGGCGGTTCCTGCGGAGCTGGAGGAGGAGCAGGAGCAGGAGCAAGAGGGTGCAGGAGGGTCCCTTGTCCTCCGGGAGCAGCGACAGCCATGAGCTCCAGCCGGAGGGTCGGGACGAGCTGCCCCAGGCAGCCACCGTGGGCGACTTGGCCCCAGTGCAGCCGCTGGGGAAGGCGCCGGTGAAAGGCACCGACTGCCGGGACGAGGCCGACAGGTAACGGGGGCGCAGGCAGGCGGCTGCTGGCGGGCAAACTGCGGGGCTGCTTTCCTGCGCTCGGGCTCAGCTTTGTGCCTGGGGCTCTTCGTTCCCAAGGGGGGGTCACTCTGGGAAGCGCGGACAAGCCCCGGCCGTTGGTGTTGCGCTGAGCAGTGCCTACAACTGGCTGCGCTCTTTGTCTTTCCAGGCGCAGTCCCCGTGCACGGCCTGCGCAGCCCAGGGAGCAGGAGGACGAGGGAGAAGCTGCCGTGGGCCGTGCAAAGGGGGTGTCAGCGCCCAGCGCTCCCCACGGGGCCCAAGCTGCTGCGCTGAGGCGGCGCGCACCCGCTCTGCGGAGAGCAGGTGGGACTCTCGGGGGTGGAGGAGGCGATGGGGAAAAGGCCTGTCGCCCGCCCTTTTGTGACAGGCTTGCCGTGGGGACGGGCTGTGTGGAGCCCAGGAGGGGCTTGTGGCTTCTGAGCCAGCCAGTGAAAAAGCGCACGGCCAGGCAACGGCCCGGCATAGCAGAGTTCTCGAGACGCTCGTTCCTCTTGGGCTCCTTTCTGATCACTTGGAGCGATCTCCCTGGCACACGGAAAAGGCGGCTGTGCTCGAGGGAGCGAGTTCCCCCGCGGGAAGGGAGCTGCGTTTCCAACCTGCCATTTGACAGGTCCCTCGCTGGCATCTCCTGGGTTTGGGGCGTGTGTCTGTCCCAAGACTGTCTCCGGGAGCACGATGAGTCGGAAAGCACTCTAGGCATCAAGGACTTGCCTCAGCTCACTCTGCTTCCAACAATATGTGGTTTTCATCTAGGTGAGCCTGCCATACGCACGGCGCCTGCTGTCTGCCAGCTGCCAGGAGGTGAAGAAGCTGAAGGGAAGAGCAAAGGCTTTGGGCGGGATGTATGTAAAAACACAGATTTGCCATTAGAGTCCTCCTTTCGGGATTACATGAGACACACTAATGCAAAAGAAGTCTTTTCCACGAGTAATGTCTAACGCAGAGCGGTTAAAATACCTTTTTGAATCTGAACGTCACGCTGGTGACAGTCCTCTTCGGGTGGCAGGAAATGCTGCCGAGACCCCCTGTTTTGAGCTGATTTCCTAAGGGCTGTCAATTTGTGTTCTGTGCAGAAGGACGTGTCTCAGCTGCTGAAGACCAACAAGAGCTTGTCTCGGCAGCTGAGCGAAGCAGAAGGGAAAGCTGGTGGGCTGGAGAAGGAACTGGAGCAAATGAAAACAGCGCTCTGGGAGAAGACGCTGGCTTTAGAGAGGAGAGAAAGAGAATTTCGTCAGGCCCAGAGGCAGGCAAGCAAGTGGCATGACCTGTACCTTAAGGAGGAGGCAGCGAGAGAAAATGCCATCCAGAAGGCAGAAGGGCTGCAGCAACAACTGGCCCAGCTCCAAAGTGAAAACCTTTCACTCCATCAGCAGCTGGGAGAGGTGCAGATCAAGGCCGCCCAAGAGCGAATGGTGAGTGGTGCCTTTCCATGCGAGGCCGACAGAGTCAGAACAGAGGTGAGGTGAGCACTGGCCAGGAGTGACTTAGGGGAGAGCAGGTCCCACGGCGATCTGGGGCTTCTGAGAGCCAGCAGGTAGAAGGTACCTGCGAGGTATTCCATCGCTGGTTTGTGCTGCGTTGGTTGCAACTGCGGAAGGTTCTGGCATATGGGGAGGTTTGCTCTAGGAAGCCTTGCCTCTGGTCACCGGAGAAGGGGCCGCGGTCCAGCGACAGCCCTTGCCTTGGCATCCAGTGAGACGTTAGCATGACCTGAAGAAAGAAGCAAAACCCCACAGAGGCACAGTCTCGGCATCTTCCGAGAAGAATGTGCTGGCAAACAGAAATCTTGATCGAGAGGTGACATTTCCTGAGCTGTGTTCACTCGCCAAGGCTGGCTAGAGACCACCAGCTGTGCAGATGCCCTCTTCTTCCAGTAGATGGGATTTCTTTGCTTTGGGACGTGCTTAGAAAACTGGTCTCGGAATACAGATTTCGGCTTCTTACCACCTTCTTCTTTGTACTTCTGTGACATTGTCTCCCTAGAGAACAGAGAGACGGCTGCAAGCAGAGCTCGAGGAGTCCTTCAGGAAGCAGTGGGCAGCAGAAACCTCACTGAAAGCTTCTACGCACCAGCTCAATCACCTGAGGGAAGAAAACTCCCACCTGCAAGAGGACTTGGACAAGGCTAAGGCCAAGGTACACAAACACGTTTGCGTATTTGAAGCTGTTCTTCTCCTTCAGTGACTGCAAGAGAACACTATATTCTAGCAACAAGTACGGGAGAGATTTGTCTGAGGACGTTACGAGCACCAGACTAGAAGGTGCATTTCGCTCCTTTCTCCTCCCTGCCACCTCCCCTCTGGCCTTGAAGAAGCCAGCCGGACCTTCAGGGAGCTCGTTTCGAGGCTGAGGGGCAAAGCAGTGGCTTGGGGGCAGCACCTGTGCGGGGAAGAACGAAGCAGCTGTGCTCTCTGGAGACTCAGTTCTGTTCTGACACCAGCCAAAAGTTGTGGCTCTGAGGTGATATCGCAAGCCACGCTCTCCCAAATGTCTTTGGGCTCGGTTGCTTTCTCTGCAAGGTTTTCCTTTGGTCGGTCTCTGCACCAAGAGGGTGTCGAGTTCCCTGGCAGCGGTGTTTTGAGGGAAGGAAAGGACCGCTCTCTTTGCCTGTGTCTCGTAAGCCAGGCTTCCCTCTCCCTCTCAGGGAAGCCTTGGAGCTCTTGTCTCTTCCCCGGCACTGCCCGCCCCAGGCCTTAGCACAAGGGTGTGCGTAGGAGAAGGAACGGGGCGGAACAGGAGTGCCATGGAAGCAAAAGGAAGGGCCACGACTGCGAGGAAATGCCAAAGAGCATCTCCAGAGGCACGGCCGTGCTGGGGTGCTGTAGGAGGAGTGGAGTGCCTTTGCCATGGTGCCCTTTTGGAAAGGAGGGGCGGATGGAAGCTGGAGCGCTCTTGTCGGCAAGGGCTTGAAAGGCGGACGCTTACTTTCAGAAAGCCAAGCGCCTTTTCCCCGGCGGGAAATCTAAACTCTCTGGATTTACAACTATGACCTGGAGGCATCCGTTTGATCGAGTTTTGCAGAGATTTGGGCCCCCTCTGCTCAAGGCAGGTTTGTTTTTCCCCGCATACAGGGGTGTGACCTTGATGTGCGGCTGGAGCTGGAGTCCCAAAAATCTCTGCACCTCGAAGCTCTGAATCAGGAGCTGGGACGCTCAGTGGCTGTTCTGTCAGATCTCTTGGCGGCTTCTGGGCTGGGTTGTACCACGACGGCGCTTCCTGGAAAACAGGGAGAGCAGCGAGCGCCGGAAGAGACGAGAGAGAAGCCAGATCCCAATCTCCTTTGGCAGGTCAGTTTAGGTGCCGTTTGTAGCTGTAGCTGCCGTTGGGTTCACTGGGGGTTGTGGTCGTGGCTGTTAGGTGGTTTGCCCTGGGCATCCGGCTCTCTTTGCTAGTGCTGGGGGTTTGGCTTTCCTGCAGGGAAGCCGGGGAGCCGCAAAAGGCTGCGTCAAAGTGTGTGTGTGTCGTGTGCCGTGGGACCCGGGTGCAGGAAAACATGCGGTCTTTTCCTCATCCTCGTTCGTCGACTGTTGTGGGCTGTTTAATAGCAGCTTTCATAGGAAAAGGGCGGGCAGAGCAGGTTTGTTGGGAGTGGGGACATTGTCTTTTTCTTCCTGTTTCTTGGAGCTGCGTCTTCTGCTTCAGACACAGGCAGCCGCTGACGCCAGAATAGACGAGATCAAGGCCACTGTCACCTCTTGGAGGGAAGAGCTGGAGCAGACGATTAGAGCTCTGGCCTCAGAACTGGAGAGAGCACGAAGCCTGCAGGAGGACACCGCGCTGCAACTGGCATGTGCGCAGGCAGAGCTGAAAAGCTCCCATAAACGTTTCCTGCTGTACCAGGAAACCCAAAGATGCCTCAGAAAGTAATTAAACAAGTAAGTTGCATGGCAGCCTGAGGAGCAGCACATCGGGATGGCTCGGCAGTCTCTGTTCCTATGCCCTGCAGTGTCCTGTCACACCCGGGGAACCACGGGGTGCCAGTACGAGCAACAGGCGTTCCTGCATGCTCCTGCCTTTTTCACAGGGCTAACGTTAGCAGAAGTACTCGGGAGCAGCCACACAGACTCTCCGGTCGCAAGGCAGAAGCTGAGCCAGACCAGGGGCCACAGAGGAAGCCCATCGCGCTCAGGTAAGCAGCTCCAGATGAGATTCTTGAATGGTCAGGTGGGCTCGGGATTGCCATTTGTGGATTTAGCGAGGGTTTATTTGTTGCGTGCAGCCCATGGAATTTCTTGCATTGGGTTTAGAAAGCTTTTAGCCTGACAGTCAAGCATGGACGATCTTCTTTCTTCCTTTCTGTGCGTCCCTTTCATCCTTTCCGGATTCCTCTGGTGGGCCTAAATCTCTCCAGATCTTTACAGTGTTCTGTCCCCGTTGATAGCTGTCCATTGGCTTTGTGGGCTAGGTCTGCCGTAGCACTAACATTGGATCTTGCCTTTTCTCTCCCGGACAGTGGTGAGGATGAAATCCGACCTGCTGGGGAT